AAAAGTATATATAAATTATATAACCGAAACATAACAACTAAATCGTTTTAAACGAATTTCGGTATACATATGTATGTATGTTCTTGGAGAAGTAATAACTTTTACTCGAAATAATACACACATATACATATGTAAAAGTACTTCTCGATTTATTATTTGCCCTTTAAACTTTTTATATAATTTTAAAGGTGTTTTAGGCGCAATTTCATGAACATTTATGGTCAAGTCTATTAACTAGTATAGGGACTAGCCTATGAATTAGTCAATTGACCAGACTATGGACTGGTATATGCACTAAATTTCAGCTTTTAAATAATAAAATGTTTTTTTTTTAATTGGTTCAAAATGTGTTTAAGGAAAACGTAAAAGCAAACATTTCATTGCAGGAGATCAATGTATAATATAGCCTTTCTGCCAAAAACATGACCAATATGGAAAAAAATTAGTGACGTTATGACCTAAACTATTTATGTAAGTATAATTGTGTAAACAAAATCATCAAAAACAAACACAAAATGTCATACACTAAATAAAAATATTAACAAAAGCAAGACATCAGGAAAAAGTCTATTTGTTATTGAATCCGTTTCATGGAGCATCATCGTATTGTGTTTCATTTACATTTCTTTGTACACACGCAGAAAAATTCATACATACACACTAGAGACCCTCGCAGGCATAGAAAATTCAGTACTTTAGTACATTTTTCACTTTTTTCATTTTTTGACATTGAAAAATACCGCGATACGCCCCAACAATTTAGGTACTTTTTCTAAATTAAAAAATGTTGATAAATATGTAATTTACATACTAATAACAGACTATAGTCTAGTCTATAGTCTAGTCTATAGTCTAGTCTATAGTCTAGTCTATAGTCTAGTCTATAGTCTAGTCTAAAGTCTAGTCTATAGTCTAGTCTATAGTCTAGTCAATAGTCTAGTCTATAGTCTAGTCTATAGTCTAGTCTATAGTCTAGTCTATAGTCTAGTCTATAGTCTAGTCTATAGTCTAGTCTATAGTCTAGTCTATAGTCTAGTCTATAGTCTAGTCTATAGTCTAGTCTATAGTCTAGTCTATAGTCTAGTCTATAGTCTAGTCTATAGTCTAGTCTATAGTCTAGTCTATAGTCTAGTCTATAGTCTAGTCTATAGTCTAGTCTATAGTCTAGTCTATAGTCTAGTCTATAGTCTAGTCTATAGTCTATTCTATAGTCTATTCTATAGTCTATTCTATAGTCTATTCTATAGTCTAGTCTATAGTCTAGTCTATAGTCTAGTCTATAGTCTAGTCTATAGTCTAGTCTATAGTCTAGTCTATAGTCTAGTCTATAGTCTAGTCTATAGTCTATAGTCTAGTCTATAGTCTAGTCTATAGTCTAGTCTATAGTCTAGTCTATAGTCTAGTCTATAGTCTAGTCTATAGTCTAGTCTATAGTCTAGTCTATAGTCTAGTCTATAGTCTAGTCTATAGTCTAGTCTATCTCTAGTCTATAGTCTAGTCTATAGTCTAGTCTATAGTCTAGTCTATAGTCTAGTCTATAGTCTAGTCTATAGTCTAGTCTATAGTCTAGTCTATAGTCTAGTCTATAGTCTAGTCTATAGTCTAGTCTATAGTCTAGTCTATAGTCTAGTCTATAGTCTAGTCTATAGTCTAGTCTATAGTCTAGTCTATAGTCTAGTCTATAGTCTAGTCTATAGTCTAGTCTATAGTCTAGTCTATAGTCTAGTCTATAGTCTAGTCTATAGTCTAGTCTATAGTCTAGTCTATAGTCTAGTCTATAGTCTAGTCTATAGTCTAGTATAGTCTAGTCTATAGTCTAGTCTATAGTCTAGTCTATAGTCTAGTCTATAGTAGTCTAGTCTATAGTCTAGTCTATAGTCTAGTCTATAGTCTAGTCTATAGTCTAGTCTATAGTCTAGTCTATAGTCTAGTCTATAGTCTAGTCTATAGTCTAGTCTATAGTCTAGTCTATAGTCTAGTCTATAGTCTAGTCTATAGTCTAGTCTATAGTCTAGTCTATAGTCTAGTCTATAGTCTAGTCTATAGTCTCTAGTCTATAGTCTAGTCTATAGTCTAGTCTATAGTCTAGTCTATAGTCTAGTCTATAGTCTAGTCTATAGTCTAGTCTATAGTCTAGTCTATAGTCTAGTCTATAGTCTAGTCTATAGTCTAGTCTAGTCTAGTCTATAGTCTAGTCTATAGTCTAGTCTATAGTCTAGTCTATAGTCTAGTCTATAGTCTAGTCTATAGTCTAGTCTATAGTCTAGTCTATAGTCTAGTCTATAGTCTAGTCTATAGTCTAGTCTATAGTCTAGTCTATAGTCTAGTCTATAGTCTAGTCTATAGTCTAGTCTATAGTCTAGTCTATAGTCTAGTCTATAGTCTAGTCTATAGTCTAGTCTATAGTCTAGTCTATAGTCTAGTCTATAGTCTAGTCTATAGTCTAGTCTATAGTCTAGTCTATAGTCTAGTCTATAGTCTAGTCTATAGTCTAGTCTATAGTCTAGTCTAGTCTATAGTCTAGTCTATAGTCTAGTCTAGTCTATAGTCTAGTCTATAGTCTAGTCTATAGTCTAGTCTATAGTCTAGTCTATAGTCTAGTCTATAGTCTAGTCTATAGTCTAGTCTATAGTCTAGTCTATAGTCTAGACTATAGTCTAGTCTATAGTCTAGTCTATAGTCTAGTCTATAGTCTAGTCTATAGTCTAGTCTATAGTCTAGTCTATAGTCTAGTCTAGTCTAGTCTATAGTCTAGTCTATAGTCTAGTCTATAGTCTAGTCTATAGTCTAGTCTATAGTCTAGTCTATAGTCTAGTCTATAGTCTAGTCTATGTCTAGTCTATAGTCTAGTCTATAGTCTAGTCTATAGTCTAGTCTATAGTCTAGTCTATAGTCTAGTCTATAGTCTAGTCTATAGTCTAGTCTCTAGTCTAGTCTATAGTCTAGTCTATAGTCTAGTCTATAGTCTAGTCTATAGTCTAGTCTATAGTCTAGTCTATAGTCTAGTCTATAGTCTAGTCTATAGTCTAGTCTATAGTCTAGTCTATAGTCTAGTCTATAGTCTAGTCTATAGTCTAGTCTATAGTCTAGTCTATAGTCTAGTCTATAGTCTAGTCATAGTCGTCTATAGTCTAGTCTATAGTCTAGTCTATAGTCTAGTCTATAGTCTAGTCTATAGTCTAGTCTATAGTCTAGTCTATAGTCTAGTCTATAGTCTAGTCTATAGTCTAGTCTATAGTCTAGTCTATAGTCTAGTCTATAGTCTAGTCTATAGTCTAGTCTATAGTCTAGTCTATAGTCTAGTCTATAGTCTAGTCTATAGTCTAGTCTATAGTCTAGTCTATAGTCTAGTCTATAGTCTAGTCTATAGTCTAGTCTATAGTCTAGTCTATAGTCTAGTCTATAGTCTAGTCTATAGTCTAGTCTATAGTCTAGTCTATAGTCTAGTCTATAGTCTAGTCTATAGTCTAGTCTAGTATAGTCTATAGTCTAGTCTATAGTCTAGTCTATAGTCTAGTCTATAGTCTAGTCTATAGTCTAGTATATAGTCTAGTCTATAGTCTAGTCTATAGTCTAGTCTATAGTCTAGTCTATAGTCTAGGCTATAGTCTAGTCTATAGTCTAGTGTATAGTCTAGTCTATAGTCTAGTCTATAGTCTAGTCTATAGTCTAGTATATAGTCTAGTCTATAGTCTAGTCTATAGTCTAGTCTATAGTCTAGTCTATAGTCTAGTCTATAGTCTAGTCTATAGTCTAGTCTATAGTATAGTCTATAGTCTAGTCTATAGTCTAGTCTATAGTCTAGTCTATAGTCAAGTCTATAGTCTAGTCTATAGTCTAGTCTATAGTCTAGTCTATAGTCTAGTCTATAGTCTAGTCTATAGTCTAGTCTATAGTCTAGTCTATAGTCTAGTCTATAGTCTAGTCTATAGTCTAGTCTATAGTCTAGTCTATAGTCTAGTCTATAGTCTAGTCTATAGTCTAGTCTATAGTCTAGTCTATAGTCTAGTCTATAGTCTAGTCTATAGTCTAGTCTATAGTCTAGTCTATAGTCTAGTCTATAGCCTAGTCTATAGTCTAGTCTATAGTCTAGTCTATAGTCTAGTCTATAGTCTAGTCTAGTCTAGTCTATAGTCTAGTCTATAGTCTAGTCTATAGTCTAGTCTATAGTCTAGTCTATAGTCTAGTCTATAGTCTAGTCTATAGTCTAGTCTATAGTCTAGTCTATAGTCTAGTCTATAGTCTAGTCTATAGTCTAGTCTATAGTCTAGTCTATAGTCTAGTCTATAGTCTAGTCTATAGTCTAGTCTATAGTCTAGTCTATAGTCTAGTCTATAGTCTAGTCTATAGTCTAGTCTATAGTCTAGTCTATAGTCTAGTCTAGTCTAATCTATAGGCTAGTCTATAGTCTAGCGAAAAAATTGTTGAGCTTTGTCAAGCATTTAGATTTCTTATTTAAAGATCAAATCTCCATGTTTGTTGGGTGTGGACATGTGATGTATGTATAAAGCAAAATCTACTTAATAAAACTCATCCATCTATAAAACGAATCTAATCAAATCGTTTCAGTCACAGACACCGACAACAAATACAGAAGAACATTAGGAAGGTACCAAATACAAGGTATTTTTTAAAATTTTTTCCAATCGTTATATAACGATCATTATAGAAGTTATGTATTAAATGAAAGGTATTAAAATGTGTAGGAAATTACACACTGAAAATCTGTTTAATTGGAAGGTTACCAAATTTCATATTTTTCGTTTGAATGAAATATAGAAAATGAGAAATGGTCTCCTTTTTCCTCTATAGAGGAATTAAGATATGTTTCTAAACAGAATTGTTTAGAAATATATCTTAAAATGGCCGGATTTATATAATTTTGAAAATAGCTTTAAATGTTTTTAGAAATTCTATAAACATCTAAATATATCAAAGTTCGTTTTTATATAAAACAAAAGGAAAAAAGAAAGATTTTAATTGTCACGAACACAACTTACCATTTTGCCCACGAACACGAACAGCAGCAACACCAACAGAAACAACATGGTTTTTGTGATTGTTGTTGTTGACGTTGAAGTGGAGTTGTTGCATCTGTTAAACCACTATTTGTCGTTGTTCCCATTGCACTTGTTGAAGTTAACATACCTCCTATATGAATACCTCCCGTATTTGTAACATCTACAACACCACTACTTCGACCATTTCCTCCGCTACTGCTAACTATGCCGACTCCAACACCACCGCCGCCACCACCAGATCCATTGCCACCACTGCTGCCAGTGTTGCTGGTATTGTGTTGTTGTTGCTGTGACGATGAGCTCATGCCGCGCAAACGACATCCTGACGGCAGTTCTGATACTGTACAAGACATTCTAAATATTTGAGAAAATAAAAAAATATATTAAAACAATCAAATCTCTTTGTATTTAAAGCTGCAACTCACCTAAATTTGTTTAAGTCTTTTAATCTTAAGCTACTTGTTGATTGGCTTATTGCTTATGCTTCTAAATTTAAATAAAAAAATTTTATATTTCTACGTAAATATTGAAGCCGATTGGATCTCTTAATACTTTGTAGGGTTTGGTGCGTTAGGAAATACTAAATTTAACATTGGTTCTTTTTGGTAGTTGTGCTTCAAGTTGCTGATAATGAAACATTTAATCTGAAACGATAAGAATTATGAATTAATCGTAAATATTTAAATCACTTACAATTTTCTAAATATAATTAACTGGTTTTAAATATGTAATCTAATAAGTATCAACGAAAAATTTAAAGGGAAATACTATAGAGAGATATTTTAGATTTTAATATAATGCTCAAAAGCTTTTTTGAATTGTATTAGAAAGAAACTGAAAATTTTTTTGATTCTTTACTATATAGACGGTAAGTAAGATAATCGCTATTGGATACAGTGTTTATCGGTTAAAATAATGGAATTGTCAGGAATGCTCGTTATATGGAAAAAATCCTTTAAAATGAAATCTATCTATCTATCTATCTATCTATCTATCTATCTATCTATCTATCTATCTATCTATCTATCTATCTATCTATCTATCTATCTATCTATCTATCTATCTATCTATCTATCTATCTATCTATCTATCTATCTATCTATCTATCTATCTATCTATCTATCTATCTATCTATCTATCTATCTATCTATCTATCTATCTATCTATCTATCTATCTATCTATCTATCTATCTATCTATCTATCTATCTATCTATCTATCTATCTATCTATCTATCTATCTATCTATCTATCTATCTATCTATCTATCTATCTATCTATCTATCTATCTATCTATCTATCTATCTATCTATCTATCTATCTATCTATCTATCTATCTATCTATCTATCTATCTATCTATCTATCTATCTATCTATCTATCTATCTATCTATCTATCTATCTATCTATCTATCTATCTATCTATCTACCTATCTATCTATCTATCTATCTATCTATCTATCTATCTATCTATCTATCTATCTATCTATCTATCTATCTATCTATCTATCTAGGTCTATTCTAACTTTTTGCATTGCATGATTTATTACAACAAAAAATTTGGTTAATGATTTGCTTACTTTTTTAAATTGAACGCTTATTGAAAGGAGTATTTATCTCAATTGTTGGAACATTTACTGAGTTTAATGAGATGATACATTTCAGGTCAATCACTTGTAAAATATGTACGTATGTATGGACATATGTATATGTGCATTAGAGATGCCCAAATGTACATAAATTCTCTTTGGATGCCCCTTAATTTGTTCATGAGTGTCTAAAACTAACTTGTGTTAAAATTAAAAAAGTATTTTTTTAGATCATCCATATTTTCTCTTTAAAATCGATAAAACATTATTGAGACATTTTTGTTTTTCTTAAAAATTCTCAATACAAATTAGGTTCATACTATTGTACTTATTTATCTGTATTATAAAACAATGAAACGAGTAATGTTAATAACGAAAATGTCCTTTAGCAGATAAGGAAGTGGCAAATGGGCACCTGTAAATATGCTAAACAATTTACAACGACAATATTGAAATAGTACTTGTGGAGCAACAACAACAACAACACGTAAGTAATCTCAATGGTTGGTTGAATGGATGGATGGACAATAATAATAAAAGCAACAACTACACTAACACTAACTAAAGATGTCAACAGCAATATCATGAAGAGCACAATAATTATTTTTATCATCATGCTGGCTACATCGTTAGCAGCGCAAGCATAAACATCATCATCGCCATTAACCAACACCAGCTAACAAACTTTCCATTGTTGTAATCAATGTAGACCCACAATATCGACATGTCTAAGGAGCACTTGAATCAATTGCAAATGAAAGAGATTTCATTTCTTTGTCTTGTTCCTGATGTCGTTGTCGTTTTTTTATTATTTTTGCACTTAACGCCGTTATTTGTGACATCAGATAAAACGGAATGTATGTTTGAGAATGTGGTAGAGATTGTTCAGAGTGCACGTTTGTATGGTCATACTTGTCAATATTGTCACCACACAATCATATTGATATCATCATCGCCATCAAACATACATACATCATCACCTTCGTTCTCATGTCATTATCTTTGGCAATGCATCATCACTTAAGGGATGCCAGGTAGTAGTTGCCAACAATGAGCGAAAATATTATTAGGAAAAACAAATTATTAAATGAAAGAAGATTTGTTCAATAGGGGTATAACTTTAATGTAATTTAAATCGATAAGGTATCAATGCATTTCATTAAAAATAGTTCTAAACTTGTAATCACTCATATTTTCTCATTTTCTGAATCAGCGATCGCCCATAAAAATGGACCATATTTTGTGATATCTCATTTTTAACTTCGTTTTTCCAAAAACATTAAATATTTTCTAACTTTATTAAAACACATTATAATCACTCATATTTCCTTTCAAAAATCGATTTTTTGGGTGAAAATATATAATCAAATCTAATATGAAAAATTTCCTTATTTAATTTTCAGCGTTTTTATTAAAAATTTGCCTGTTTATTAAAATTCTCCTTCTAAAATCTATTTTTTAGGGACGATTGTTGATTGTTAATCCGTTAAAATTAAATTTTGATTTTCACCAAAATTCTTTTTTCCGCAAATAACAAAATTAAAACCACAACATTTTTATATTTCAGTTATCACCTTTAAATAAATCTTACTTACTTCACAAATATTTATAGTTATTAAAAAAATTAAATAATTCAACATTTGCTCATTATTATTAACAGTTATGAATCTTTTATAAATTACTAAAACATTCATTTGGAAAACAATACAATTCTTAAAACAAATCTAAGAAAAACGTCCAGTTTTTAAAACTTTCTGATTAAGACTAAAAACTAAACGAAAGTGTTAAACCAAAACCAATCAAACAGACAGACAGACAAACCGACAGACCTAGCGTGAGAGTAAAAGATAAGATTATTTTAAAGCGTCACATTAAATATATCACATAAATACATACATATATATTAGTAAGTAGTAGATTTACTTTATTTGCTTGTGTATTGTGTGGCATAAAATACAAACATTTAATGTAAATGAGAATATTGTTGATGTACAATTTGGAAACCGGCAAACAAAATATTGATGTAGCATCATCAATACATTTATACAAATATTAACAAACACACATATACACACTGATCCATCCACTGTACAGGATTTTAAGATTGTCCAATATGTTGTATGAATATATTAATGTTTATCTGTTTATACGTAAACACTTACGAGTCACATTTCTGTGCGAACTACAGCAAACATACATTTTCTTGTTCATATAAGACGATGTTTATACTGGAACCCAGCAAACAAAAATGCTAATGTGTATAAAAGTATACATACATATGTATATAAAGTATATGTGTTATATTTGTCGAATCATATAAATATATATAAATAAATTTATCGATCAATCCTTACTTATATCCATGTCAAAATGAACATAAGGATTATTTTCAAAATAGGGTCTTTAATGTGTGTTTGGGAATATTATATTTCAGGAAAATTTTAGACCACTAGCTCCTCCCGTGTGGTCCTTATTTGGCTTTCAACCGACAGATCGTCTTTGATTTCAAATACATATCCGGAATTTCATGTGAAGTTACCCAACTTTTAAAACCAATGCCTTCCGATCGTAATGTTAGTGCTATTTGATAGTATTTTACACACAATTTTTAACGGTCAAGAACTCCGTGAGTTACAGTAGCTCAAAGCTTGAGATTATTGCATGTGTTTCTTCTCATCTGTGTAACTTATTTAATACTGTCCTTAGTAAATAGTTCCAATAGTTTAGGAAAAAAATATTTAATAAATTGTTGACTGTTTACTGATAATATTGAAAAATTAAACTTTCGAGACGTCCGACTATGGCAAACTAGAATTTCATATCCTCGATATGTTAACCTCAAAAATAAAATCAATTTTTTCATGTGATTTAACAAAATCAGGTTACACAGTAGCGTATAATCAAAATATTTGGAAATCACCTAAAATACAAACGGGCCAAAAATTAAAAATGCAAAATAATCATTAATTCTGAATGATTTGGAATGGAACCAAATTATTGTGTTAGCTGGGAAACTATGTATACTTATATAAACACAAACAAACATCCATATGTTTGTATTTAGAAGTATCTTTGATAACAACCAGTGAGACAAAAAGATAAGATGCATTTTACTGGATTTAAAACGGATACACTATGTGACATCATTATAAATATTTCTCTCATAAATTTTGAAATGGTTTAATAATTGTATAATTTACTTACTCACATACATAATTTTGCTTATTTAAATAATGTCACAACTAAAATGTATGTTTTTTTAATTTGAATATTATAACATTTAAACTGATTTAAATTAGGATTACTTTTCCCAAATAAGTATATGATCATAACACAGTTATTTAAAATTTAAAAATTTAATAAAATGACCTTAAACCAGTTTAGCTTAAAACGTTATATTTTTAGTTAAAAGTATTGCACTATTTGTTTACTTCTGCAAATTATATGTTTAGTTTTATCTCTTGATCAGTTCATTATTGAAAGTGCTTTCACCTACTTTTCATTTAAATATGAAATTCATACAAACGAAATATTCGACAATTAAAATTAGCAAAATGTATTAAAATAATTCAAATGATTCATTTGAAAAAAATTCAATATAAACAAATTTAGGTCCACAATTTTCTCAAACAAACTAGAAAATAGTTGAAAACTGTAATGAAAATCATGATGAAAATACCAATTAAAGTTAAAAATATGTTTGTACGTACAACCAACGCACAATTAAAATATTCAATTAAATTTTACGCATAAAACTAAATGGATTTTTTGTACAATCACTACTGCTATTTATCCAAAATAAAGAAAAACAAAATAAATTTATCTATACTACTACTAAAACAAACAAAATTATATTGCAGGAGTCCGATTTTGAACATCAGAAAATAAGTCAAATTTCCAGATTATGTAAACATTACGCCTTTTAGAATCAAAAGTTTTTGAAATCTTGATGTATTTTTTATTTATGTTGAAACAAAGCTGGAGTTTTAAAGATTTTCTTTCCATGCACAAAAGTTAACCACTGACGTTTTTGTAGATTGAGTGAACTATTTTTAAGATAGTATGTCTAGCTTAGTCTATAGTGTAGTCTATAGTTTAGTCTATAGTCTATTCTATAGTCTAGTCTATAGTCTAGTCTATAGTCTAGTCTATAGTCTAGTCTATAGTCTAGTCTATAGTCTAGTCTATAGTCTAGTCTATAGTCTAGTCTATAGTCTAGTCTATAGTCTAGTCTATAGTCTAGTCTATAGTCTATAGTCTATAGTCTAGTCTATAGTCCAGTCTAGTGTATAGTCCAGTCTATAGTCTAGTTTATAGTCTAGTCTACAGTCTAGTCTATAGTCTAGTCTACAGTCTACTCTATAGTCTAGTCTATAGTCTACGAGAGACTACTCTTGTTTAATCTGTAGAGTAAGTTTATCGAGAAATTGGTTTAGTACTTTAAAACCTAAAAAGTACTCCTCTTGTTATGTGTTATGTTATGTTATGTTATGTTAAATTTCAAATTTAAATTTTCCATTCCTGGTAAATGTAATATTCTTTTGAACCGAAAGAAATTTAACATTTTGTTTCTTTGTTCTATATTTAATTGAATTACAAATAATATACCAAATTTTAAAAAATTAAAGACTGGAAATCGAAATCTGTTAAATGTTCGAGTCGTTTGTTGGATAGAGCTCCATAAAATTTGTTCCTTCCTCAATTGGATTACTACATTAAACTAAATATTTATCAAACCGGGAAACACTGTATGCAGTAAACAATTAAAACCCAAACCATCACCAATATAGTGTACGATTAGCAAAATCTTTATCTATAGTACAAGAAATAAACTATTTAATAAAAAAAGTTCACTTACCTTATTTAATAATTTGTTGTTTTGTAGTTACTTTGAGTCTGAGAGAAGGAATTGTTAGAATTGCTCGGACATGACATATATACGTACACACGCATATTTGCCAAAAGAATGAGCAGCAATGACAACAACTACCTACAACAACTTTAACATAATAATTGCCACTTTTACTCCAACGAAATGGACAAAAACAAACGATAAACAATAAAAAACTTAAATGTTTAAAAATTATTCTTTGGTTTAAAATAAATACGCAAACGAAATAAAATAAATGTCGATGAAAAGTTTTGTTATTTTAATTTTATTTGTTTTTACTGAATTTGAAAACTATACCTCGTCATACTTGCACACACTCACTCACTCACTACACTAAATATTTAGGACCACAAGTATTTTTAATTTTTTTCTACTTTTTTAATGTTTAATTTTAGTTTAGTTTGTTGTGTAATAATAACAATAGTAAGAATTATTTTTGTTGTTGGCTATTCTTATTGAATCATATGTGTATATAAACATTAGACTGGCTCAAAAGATGAGAAAAATTAATATTAAATTTTGACCCCAATTTCTGTATAAAGTTCACGTAAATATTTCTTAAGGGCTTTGTCTTGCGATAACCAATAAGGGACAAAAGTTATTAAAGTATTAACTTGTATTAAATATTCTTCTTTTTTCGAGATATCTTAAGCTAAATTTTGAACTGAACAAAAGATAAGTTCCATACAAGCGATTTAAAAACAAGATTTTAGAATAATTTTCAAAAAAGGAATAGAATCAATGGGCTATTTCCATGCCATCGTACCTATTTTGTGAACTTGTTGTTCCCAAAGGTCAAATATGTATCCAAACAACCTTTTTGGGAATAATTTCGTTCGTACAATATTGTAGCAGTCTAATGTACATCTGTATGAATTTATTTTTTGTGCGATTTTTTTTTTATTATTTATTTTGAGAAACACCATTAAAATCCATTTCATTCATTCTTAGAGGTTGTTGTATTTAAATATTTTTGCACAATTGTTTTATTATTTTTTTTTTTTTTTTTGTTAACTTTTAAAAAAGGAAACAATTCATACACAATGTACAAAGAGAGAAAGAATTAAAAGTGAGTAAAGGCCAAATGCAATAAAAAAATCTATGCATTTGGTAGACTAAAGAAAGCTTTTCATATTCAAAATTATTTGTTTTTATCGAACTTCTATTTTTTCGTATTTTTTCGGTTCGTTGATAATAAAAATACTTTTTGTAGAAATGTCTATGGATGCGTAGACATGTGATTTTATTTATGTTTCGTATTGAATCTGTTTAAAACAATTAATATTTCTTTATATTTCAATTGAATTTCGCTTAAAGTCCCGACCGACCGCAACGCATAAAACATGCGCTGGGTGAAAAGAATGGAACAAAAGAAATGAAAAAATCAAGATGCTTTAAATGTTTGTACGTGAAAGTTTTGCTGAGTGGGTGGTTTTGGTTAAAGTTTGTTTTTGTATTTTTAGGGGGTGAACTGTGGTGGTATTTATTGTAGTTGATGTTGTTGTTGTTGTCGCTGCTGCTTCTAGCCGATGAAAGAGCTTTTCCGAATAGAGTCTCGTTACGTTTAATAGTGGGGGATGGGAAGATGATTCAGAAATTAATAAAAAAAAAAAGAGAATGAGAATAAAAGTAATGGTGAGAGAGCGGGAGAGAGAAATAAATAGAAACAAAATGTGTATTTGGAGAGTATGAAGCAGGTGTTTTACTTTGATTATTTTCCGTTGGTATCCGTTTTAAAAACAGCAGCCAGTCAGCCACCAGCCTGCTAAATACTTATTTCCTCAATAAAATCATTTAGCAAACTTCTTTTTCTCCTCCATACATTTTTTGTTTGGAGAGAATTCTAGAGTAACTCAACTCAACTAAACTAAACATTAGCAGCCATATTCAAAAAGAGTGCGTAACGCACTTTTTTCAATATTTTCTTTCTTTATCCGTTCGTTCGTTTGTTGGTTGTTTTTTCACTTTTCACAATATTTTTAATTGTATTAGAAATTATTATTTGAACTTTAATAGATTTACTCGATTATGATGATTCTATTATTCTGACGACGAAGATGATGATGATCATTAATGGCAACGACCGATTTCATTACGGACATTATTATCTTCTTCAGTGGCTGGCAGCAGTTGAATGTACGTTCCACCGTAAGCACAAAAATTCCTCTACTCTATAATTCGATATTATTTTTTTTTTTTTTTTTTGTGTTCCGGAGCTATGAAATTTACATAGATTCTTTTCTTGTTTTTTTGCTTATTTTTTCATATTTTTTCTTGTTTCGATAACCACAAAAAGCGTACGTAGGTAGAGGAAAACTTATAGAAATACGAGTGGATACATAGATATAAATATATAAACTTTATATTTTTTCTCTCAAATATACATTTTTCTTTGACTTTTATTTACGATATACTAAAAAATATTTGTTAATTTTTTTCTTTGCTTTTTACACTACACATTTATTAAAGAATTCATTAATGCACATTGCCGTTTTACTATTTAAATTTTTCATATTTGATTTTTTTCTTTTTTAAATTTAAATTTAATTTTTTTTGCAAATAATTATTGTGGCTTTTTTCATCTCCTCTTCAATCTCAACCGTTTAGTAGCACTTAAAATCTGTGTATTTATTTTTCATAATTTTTTTTCTTTTTGTTCAAAATCCTTTTGATGGCATTAAAAACGTACACCAGCCAACTGTTTGCAACGGAAGAGAAAAATCATACTAAAGTCTTATTGTGTGTAATTGGGCAAACAGCCTTATTGGGGCGACTCTATAAACTTTCCAGTGAGTAAAAACACAAAAAAATATTGTTTCAGTATACGAGAACAAAGAGCAAGAATAGAAGAAGTGAAAAGCTTTCACAGCTGCTAAAGTTCTTCGACAGATTTTCAACGATGTAAATGCAAGGGCCAATATTAAGCTTTTTGGCGCCTTCTTTTGAAATTTAACTAAGATTTTTGGTGTTAAATAAATCAAGGCAATCATATTAAGTTTTTACAAATAAAATTCATTTCTATTGACATTCATATTGGTTTCCTATTTTGTTGTATTTTTTTAATCTTAATAAAAATATATGAAAACGCACAACTTAAAATAAAACTTTCTTACATGGTACATACACAGACAGGTTATTTGAATATCTATGTGTAAAGTCTTATGGTGGCATCGGCACCAGTCGAAAATACCCAAGGTTGTACAGGATGCCATACAACGTCTAAAACACCAAATTCCTCGCGTTTTTCGTGAGTCTGTAGCTTTTTCAGAGGAACAATCAAGGGATTCTGCAACAAATCGCTAAAATAAAAATACAAAAGTCCAATTGTTTAGAGCACATTTTTGGTCATATTAAGCGATTTGTAAACTTACTTATAGACCATGCCATGGGAGACAATGACTGCTTGATCGTCACTACCAGAGGCAAACAATGGATAACGTAAATGGAAAGCAACACTCCGTACAGCATTCTTGTGTAGACGCATTGTTTGATAAGGTTTGGTAGACAAATCCAAATCGAACCACAACATTTTCTTGTCATATGTCGAGACAAGCAAATTATCACCCTTTGGATGTATAGACATACCAGAAATCCATTTCGAGTTGGTCAATAATTTTTTCACCAATTCTTGTTTAACCAAATCATAGATGCGTATATTATGTTGAGTCTGAAAGAAAAGGAAAACTTTCATTAAAGAAACAACAACAGGACAATAAGACATTTTTACTTACAGCCACAAAGAAGCAGGGTTTAATTGGATGGAAAAGTACACATTGAATAAGACCTTTACTCTTTGAAAATGGTATTTGAGAGCGTCTCTTTGAGAGTTGATGTATCAAAGCCGAACGATTAGCACCCTCTGGCATAACAGTTGCAAAGTAGTCACCTCGTCCATGCCAAGTCACTTGACGTATCGGCTTAAAGTGATTTATTACAACACGTACTCCCTTCTCCTGTTCAGCTGCTTCAGCAGTGGACCATTGCACGGCTGTCTTAATGCGTTCACTTTCCAGAGCATCATTCTGTGGAGCTTCGGCCAAAAGATCATCTGTCTTCTTAACCAGCATTTTATCACCAACTTTAGGATTAATAAGCAATAAACGATTGCCAGATGCAACAGCAATAATGGATAACTTTGCGTTGGGACACCAGGCTACACAACGTACCACATCGTCAGTTTCAATCGTACGTATACAACGTCCAGTGGAAATTTCCCAAACTTGAAAAATATAAATTAAATTAACATTTTAGTGTACATATCAATTAATAATCCTGATTTCTTTTTCAAAGGTATATATGATGCCAAAGAATTGTCTCTCATACTGTTTTTTGGCATATTTCATCTCATATTGAAAAAAGGATTAAGAAAAGTAAACTCAAAATTATCAAAAAAATTTTAAAACTTTAGAAAAACTTACTTTTAACAGTTTTATCGTCAGAGCCAGAAACGACATATTCACCCTTTGGTTCGACACTGACAGATCGTACCAAATCTGTGTGACCACGATAAACCAAACTCTCGACAGTGGGGAATGGTTGCAGATCCTTCGGTGAAGGTAACTTCGGAATCAAATATTCCGCATCGATATTAAGTTTGACACGCTTAGCTCTTGGACATAAATACAAATCGAGACAACGCAAGAAGCGTTCCCTAAGATAACGTGAATACGCCGGAACCTCACGCAATGAAGTATATTTTTGAGGCATAAAATGTAATTTGCGTTTATGTGGTTCATCCTTTAATTTTAACCATTCTTTTTGTTCCTTCTCATCAAAGAGGTATTCTGGAGGTGGATTGTAGGATTCAGCATGGCCAGGTAGATCACGTTTAGGAGCTGAAACAGGATCATGTATGCGCCGCATCTCCTCGCGGCTTGTATCCGTTTCCCAGAGCATATAGAATTTGGGTCCGCGTTTTTCTTTCCTTTCCTTCTCCAATTCATCCATTGTCTTCATCCAACCCATTTTCAAAGCGTGCACCATACGGCCAACTTTCTTCTTTTCAGAGACAGATGGTAAAAATGATCTCTTGTGATCGGGCACATTTTTAATTGGCATCTTTTCTACTTCCGATGTAAACCAGTCGATCCAAGGCTGATATTCGTCATGGTCGGGATTAGGAACACGGGCTGAATTGATGCGTTTTATAAGTTCTATATCAGCATCCGTAAGTACCACTTCTTGGCCAGTTTGAGGATCACGTACTGTGCGCCAAAAGTTGGGATCTTCAATTTTACGCAAGAAATCATCAATTTGATCACCTTTTGCTGGTTTAATAATTTTCTTTGCGTCCCAGTCGTAACCAATATGTTTATATTCATCATACCAATGCATTGGTATGTTGCCTACTGTATTACGAATATCTTCTTCATCCGAAGTATCGGAATTTTCGTATTCTTCATAAGTTCCTGTGTTGGATTTTATTGTTTTCTTGGAACCTTTAGGTTTTTCTTCTTTTTTCAATTCAGCATCGAATTTTTCAATGGCATTTGATGCGGTTTGTTTAGTTGTATTGATATTTTTAGTATTCTTATTTTTTGGCTTTTTATTTAGAATATCTTCAGATTCTTCTGATGTAGCAGTTTGTTTTAAGTCTTCTAATTCATTATCACTGTCACTTTCATCCAATGCTAATTCTTCCTCATCCTCTTCTTCGCCTTCTTCATCATCGGTCGATATATCTTCAATATCAGCATCATCAATTTCGTCCTCTTCTTCACCATCATCGTCTTCACTATCACCTTCCTCCTGCTTACCATTCGACTTTATTGATGTAAAGTTACCCTCATCGTCACTTTCGAATTGAAGATCATCACTGCCATCAGACAGATACGATTGATCAATACCTTCATCATCTGTACTGTCAGCCTCCTGTTCTCCAACATTCTGCAATAAATCCTATCGAAAAAACACGTTTAAACATTTTCTACAGAACAACCAACTTCAATCTATACCTCTTCTGACTCTTCCACACTGTTGTCATCACTTTCCGACTCTTCCTTTGTCTTTACAATGATTTCTTTCTTCCGCTCCTCAACCGCACCGGAATTTTTTCTTTTATTAGATTTTTTAGCCATATTTTATTTAATTTTTTCTTCAAATAATGCAGCTCAAAAACAGCTCCGAAGAAATTACAAAAAAAATACACAAACACACGTGTTTAACAATATCAAAGAACTGTCAAACAAATTGGTTTAGTGATGCCAGATCACACGATAAATACAAATTCACAGGGTGATTTATATATAAGACAACATGTATTTAAAAAAATTTTAGTAACGACATTTGTATTTCAAAGTTTTTATTACGTTATTCTTTGTAATTTATTAAATTACAAATTTGTGTTAAATTGAATACAACTATATTTACTGTTTGATAATAGACTTCTTGTTCTAACAACTTCTTGTTCTAACGATAAAAGTGAAAATTTTTAAAAGCTCTTAAAACCTATAAATGTTTGGTAATACAAACCTTATCATATATAGAGGAAAACAAAATATTTTAATATAGAGATTTTTTTACTAAACACAACATTTCTTTTATTTAATAAACAATATTGAAAATTACGTTTATTAATATTTACATAATATTGTATTATTTAATATAATAATTTATAATAACAAAGTCTTAAAGAGTATTTCAATATTCGTACAGTAATCGCATGTGTAGTAATTATTTATATTTATGTATTTGTATAAAAACGCCTTTTGACTTAAAATAATAATAAATTATGCATTAAAAAGAAAGGCAGTATAAGCGGAAAGCCTATATCCCTATTCAATTCAACAACGGAAAATTACAACAGAAACTTAAAATGAAAAAACCATAAAATGCTGAAACAGCCATGGAGGAACTGTGCTTTTTTTCTTCGGGATAAAATTCTAGTTCACAAACGGGTTTACGTTCATCTACCCATGATGGTTGGTTCATCAGCCATGGCAATTTCGTCGGTTGGAGCTTTTGCACCCTTCTTTTTGCCCGAGTACCACATAAACAATAGACCACAACTGAGATTAACAGCAAATGTAAACCAAGCCAAATAAACTCCGGCACCATATCTAAAATTAATAAATTAATGCATTTTCAGAAAGAAATTTTATTCGAACAACTTACGTTAGTTCTGCTCCATTTGGATAGGCATAAAACAAATGTTCTTTGGTGTAGTCGACGGATGCAAACAAAACCTGTATGACAACGAGGACGGTGGATGCTGCGACTAAATCAATACCACCTGCTAAGCGTTTGAACATGTAACGTGGATTTTTAAAAGTGTAGAACGAAAACACCGATCCCAGGCACATTACAAATACAGTTATGCAAGCGAAGGAGGCTTGGGAGCGAATGTAGTCTATAACGAAAGATTTTTAAACATAAGACTATGCTTTTGTATAATTCAATTTAAATAATTAACCCATTAAAGTCCAATCGAAACCAGGATCCAGACGCAGTTCATTGGCATTCGGGAACATATCAATATATTTGCAACGACCTAAAAGTAGTTACATAATAAATGTTAGATTAAACTGATTTTTTTATTATAAATTTTGAAATATTTAAACTTGTATTCGATATCTTACTTAAATAGGTATATTCATAACCATTGGCGATTTTTCCTTTTTTAGGCGGGAATGGAGGCATTAATTGCAAAATGACTCTATCATCATTCAATATAAATGCGGGTACTCCTAAATCTCTGGCATATGGCCAGAATAAACGTGGCACGTAACGTTTTTCAGCCCATCCTTCGAATATAGCGGCCTGAGCCATTTCCGGTATAACAAAGTTATATGTTGTGGCATTAATGACGACTTTTTGCAATGCCTTTCCAAATATTTTATTTCCCTCTATGTGACGCACATCCAAAGGATCAATAGCTATTGGCTGGGCATCTATGGGATCTATATCGTTTTTAGCTTCTGGAGTAGACAGCACCAATTCCTGAAAGGCTTTTCTAAATGTCTGAAATTCCATTTCGTCTTTTAACACCCAATGTGCAAACATGCGCCTCTTTGCTGCTTCCGTAAAATTAACCAACGGAGTATCGACAATTTCATCTCTAAACTCTTTGATGAAAGCCATGTGGGAACAATTATTTTTCGCTTCACTTATCACATTGGGATTTTGAAATGCTATCGAAGTAATATTACGAACAACATTAGCATTCGGCAAAGCGGTTGGTGTTATAGTATTTCGACAAAATCTCCAGAGTCCCGAATGGGAGGATACAAAGAAACGCCTTGTTTCAGGTATAAAGATTCCTTGAAAAATACAATAAGTTTTATTAATCATTGATCCTATAACAATGTGTTAATTTGTTAATGTTAAATCCGTCGTATCCCTATAATTTTTAATTTTTTAAATCAGATTCATTAGTCTAGGAAAATAAGGAGTTTGCTGGTGTTATTATAATTTCCATAAATAATTAAATTTTCTATATTTTCACTGAGGACTATTTTTACATACATTTCTTTTTCCTAACTTAGCTGATGATAAATGATAAATAATTGATATTGGAATAAAGGGTATAATAAGTTTATTCCAGTATCACTCTCTGGTACATAGAATTCAGTTCGTAAATATGAATGTAATTTGAAACAAATTTGTGAATAAAACCTACATAGACGCATTCAGTTACGCTACGATCGAAAATTAGTATTTCAACAAAAAAACGGAATTGTACGAAAAAAAGAAGCAATTCCATTTTATTTCAATGCTTTACGATTGTGTGTGATCTGCATTACGATCCTAACTACGTTTTTGTAAGTTGTTATTTTAGCAACGAATCGAAATGCAAAATACCAAAGTTGCCGAACGGAAAAAATTTCGATTCGAATTGAGATGCAGAATAGAGGTGAGTATTTTTTCACTCTTCTGAAAATTCAAAAAGGGCTACGAGATATTTGACGAGAATATTATATATGTATTTTTGGACCTGGTATTCGTGAAATATTATTCATTAGAAACAAAATAAAGATAATTTGTATAATACTATGCAAATCAGCCATTTAACCGTTGACATGAGTGTTTTTAATATTTTTTCTTCTTTTGTTTCTTTTTTATTTTTCCTAACACATCAGGAAAATTTTTCAAATAAAATTTCTTTATGCATATTGGCATCCAAAAATATATACATTGTTGTTTATAAATACATATGTATATTAAGTGTATGTAGGTATATATTGTACATTTTTTCTGAATTGTCAACAATTTATAATTTTTAATTTTGGATGGTTCTTAAACACCCTACGTATGGATATAGTACTTTTGCTATTATATATGATACAGTATAAAGTTAATAATTAACATATCGTAGACACGCTTATAAATGTTACTATAAAATATTTTAAAATTTGAATGGATCTATTCCCGAAGTTTTGTTTTAGATTTTTCTGTAAAAATGAAATTCTACGACAAGATGGTGTCACTACCGCAACGAAAATCATATACATTATCACTACTAGATGTACTAAGTGTAATGTATAAAAATTTTTAAATAGTAATTAAGTGCTTTATGAAATGTATATTTTCTGTAGCTAATTGCTGTCATATACATTTTTGAATATTTGAAACATTTACTTTGTAAACATCGGGTTCTAAATAAGGAAATATTTTCATAAAATATTTTACTACTTATAAATATTTTAATTATACCACTTTTTATTAATGCTAATGCTTTTTATGCCTCCATAATTTTGTTTAAAATTTTTTGAAAATTAAAATCTTGTGAAATTTCAAATTGTATAAAATTTATAGGTATTTTTAAACTAAAAAACTTAAATTATAATGGCTATCTAACAGAAAGCTCTTTTCGTACCGAAAGTTGAACTTAAACTTTTGCAATGAAAAATATTTTGAAAAACTTTTTATATTTGGTTATGAGACACCATTTTCATACTATTCACAATCAAATTAATATTTTATAAAATACAACGAAACATTAATAATTGATTTATAAATATTTGATAAAATATTATTATTCAGAAATACAGTTAAAAATCTGAAATCGTTCTAAAAGTTCATCTTTAAGTGAACATTTTGTCAAACATAAACTTTAAAACGACTAAACAAAAATTCAAGAAATGTAATTGTTAAAATTTTTATTTAAAATTATAAAATATCTTCAGCGCCACAAAACACTTCAAAAATATTACAACACTGGTTATGAGACACCCGGTATTTTTGAAATATTTCAGTAGTTAAATAAGAGTTACCAATGCAGCAAAAATTTTTTCTTGTTAAGGGATTCTATAACTTTCAACGATAATTATCTTAAGCTACAATAGTTTATCTTACCCTGTTTCCCACCACTTATAATAATCCAATGATCTGTTGAAATTGCTATTATCCACAATATTAAAGATACGACCATTAAACAACTGCACGAAAACAAGATACGTCTTTGGAACATATAAGCCTTCATTAAAGGCTTACGGGCATCATCTCGACCAATGGTCGAAGTTGACAAATCACGTTTCATTTTCTGTAAAGGTTAATAGTTAAATAATTAAAATGTAATTAAAAAATTGCTTTGTTATATCATGAAATTAATTAATTTTTATAAAAAATCATAATATTTCGTTTTGTATAACATTTTTAAAATGATTGTTTTACGATCTGGTTTCCTACTGAAATTGTACAAAAAATACAGCGAGCACTTGTAAACCTTTAATTTTCACAGTTTATTCGAATTTATAAAAATACCTTTCGAACTTTTTTGCTATTTCTTTTTATTTTCATTTGGTTAAATGTTTTATGTTTTTTTTTTTTTTTTTGAATTATTTTTTTCTTTCTACACAGTCATTTTTGCTTTGTTTAAATTTCTTTTTAATGAAACCCCACAATATTTTTATTTTAATCTTTAAATAATTTAACACACTTTATTTTTTTTTTAAGTAAATGTCAAATTTCAAATATTTTCTTTAAACTAATTGATTGGTTTTGGCTCGTTTCTGAAAATTATTGGAAAAGTTACACATTATTCAGACAAATATATTTTTTCTAAAAAATGTATAGGTTTGATTTTTGAACATTCCAATTTTTTAAATAAGTATTTATTATATTTTAGTATGTACTTTAGATGAAATATTTACATAAAAATAAACTTGACACATTTAAGTTGACGTTTAAAAAATCTTTTTGTTAAATATTTCCTCATTAAAACGTACGTGCAGAAGAAACATTTATTATTGTATATATTTTTATTTTAAAAATGATTTATTTCTTGAAATTTAGTTTGTTATGAATTTTATCTTAATTTTTATTGGTATTATTTTTAGTATTTAGTAGAATAAATGTTCACACAACTATTTTTATTATGCAATTAATTAAACATAAACAAAATTTTTAATATTTCTGATATAAATTTGGAATAGCACACTTATTTTTTATTTTTAACCGTGCGCTTCTTTAGTTTTAATGCTCTGTTAATTGCAAAAACTTTATTTTATTTTTTTATTTTAACATCACTGCACAATGTGATCGAATTGTTTTTCTTTCGTATTTAATTTTCTTTGTTTTTTTGGTTTGTTGTCAAACTCACATATCGCTAACTATTAGAAGAGGTCGCCTAACGAAATCGTACTGAATGACAGGCTACTGTCAGACTAGCTAATAGGCTAGAAATCCCCAGAAGCAGTATTTAGGCGCAATATTTAGAAGAGAAAACATTTTATTTTGCCAAAGTAATATCCACCGACAGATACAGATACATATGTTTGTATGTAAATTTAAATCGTTCACATCGTTGTCGTACACCGAACATTTTCTTTGACGAGAAACAATATGAATGTCGAGTTATTTGTTTAATATTAAATAAATAAATACATAAATATTGTTTAAGTAATTCAGTTAAAATTATTCTATTTCAGAATATTCAATATTTTAAAGTTTGATTAGTTCAATTAAAATATGCATATGTACATATATCAATCAATTATATTTACTTTTATTATAGAGATGTAAATCTTTTTAAAATATATATTCTTGTAGTGCATCTTTGGTAAAAATAACTATTTTATTTATAATAATATGATTTAAGAATCAGTATATATTTTCTTTAGGTGTATACATTATTATATATTCATAAGCACAAATGTTTTATGTTTATGATAACAATAGTTTCTTACTCTGAAATTAGGAAACATCTCTTTTATCGTTTGTATCGGGTGGTCGTATGGATGGTCGGTCGATCGGTATGTTTATAGTGAGTATGAGTACAACGTCATAGTTTTTTGGGGAGGAAGATGAGAATAAAAAGCATGAATAAATTTTACTTTTAGCTACATAAACATTGCTGCGATGAAATATACATATGCTCCAACTATTACCTATGAAATGTTTATATGTTTTTCCCTCGATCTTTGATTTGTTAGCAAAGAAACAAATATTTTTTGTTTTGGTGGACCCACGCAATGTGAATGTCTCAACACCTTTCTGCCCCATACAGTAAGCAACATCACTATCAGCAGCAGGTGTAAATGAGCAAAAGTAAGAAATGTCTTAAAAACAACAATTCTATTTCTATAAAAATCCCATAAAATGGCACTGTGTGGATATGAAAATAAACTGAATTACACACATATGTTTTTGTTGTTGTTTTTCTTTTACTACGAACACAATTAAAAACTTTTTTGTGCACATTTGTCATAAAGTGGACATATGTCTGAAATATTTTTTTGTTTGTTCTTCAAATCACTGTCCAAAATTTTGAAAAATATTTACTCATGTTGGGGTTTTTTGACTTATAGTGGGCGTTAATGGAATGCTAATGTGATTTTCTATACAAAATCACAATATTTAATCGCAAAATTTTCTTTATTTCAATATACCTAGTACTTTTTTCGCAGAGAAAGTTTTTGTTTTCCTATTTTGTATTAAAGCCAAAAATGTCTTTGATTGGCAAATTTGTATGTACTCTTAACAAGTTGTTTCACTTTTATCTTGTTAAGTGATTGTTAATTCCTTTTTGAAATTTAGCTTTTGGCTTTATAGTGCAATAATACAAATTTATAGAAAAATCACTAACAAAATAAATTAATTGAGAATCATTGCATGCCATTTAATATTTAAAATCTGAGTGAGGCATGTTTAAGTGAAAAAATAGAACCACTTGTTAAGGTTAATACAAGTGGCTGCATAAATTGAACGGCCAGTGGCTGTTGGCGATCTACAAATGTAGTATATTCTACTCAAATCTTGTCTATCTTGTAACCAGACATGAGGCACAGATATTTATGTACATACACATAAATCTGTATGTGCATTTGGTGGGGAATTTTCTTGTTTTTGTTTAAAATTTGGCAAAACATTTCATAAAAAATTAAATTGCCATAAATTTATAATTAAAACATAAACTTGAAATATGCGAGTGTTTGTTATTTAGAAAAGTAAATTTTTATCAAATAATTTTATTTGATAAAAATTTTAAATAAAATCAATAATTCTTATTTATTTAATAAATATTTTTAAATATTTTATAATTCTGTTAATTTTTTATAGTGAAAATGGTAAGAACTACTAATTGTATATTTTAATTTACGATAAATAAATTATGTTAAAATATGTGTTTCAAAATATATGTTTTAATTTAACGCCCACTAGAATCTAAAAAGTGGTACAGCAAAGGTATTGTGCTAAAAAATGCCTATAAATTAAAATAATTATATGACAAAAATTAATGTTTTGTATATCAAACTTTTTTAATACTGTGTCCACATAATTAATTGGGAATAGGTATATTTTCTTTAAGTAGTGATTTATTTAAATGGAATTTAATTATTTTTAATAAAGGCTGTTTTTCCAAAAAATTTAGTTGTGAAAAAACAAGATTTTAATATTGTTTTTTTTAGCAGCTACATGTGTAATTTCGATGTTGCTGAGTGGACAACCCTTGGTCGTTATTCGCTGAACTCCTAGTCGTTCTGGTGCAAAGATCCGATTGTCGCGAGAGTGAAATTAGAAGCTGAAATCGCTGTAATACAATTTGATATTTCAATACATTTTGTTAATTAACTATTTAATAAAAATTATAATTATGAAATTGGAATAAATTCAGGGTCAGAAATAATTTATGTCGAGGAAAAAGTCTGAAAACTTATAAGTAAGGTAATTTGAGTATGCTGAATCCGGGAAAGATAATATTTTTGAATTTGAGTTTTCCCTAGTGAGTTATAGAAGGTCAAAGTTAAATGTCGAATATATGTACATTCAAAAAACGGTCACCAAAAAGTACCACTAATATATTGTATGAATATTGTTTTGGAAAATGTCTTCTTATACTTATATCAATACTTACAATTTTGATCAGTTTAGTTCGATTACCCAAAATAAAATTTTTTACCATTAATTGAATCAGTTTTTTAACGTGGTTACCTTCAAAATTTCAATTATAAATATAATAAAGTCCTAATTTTTATCTAAAAAAATTGAAAAAATGCATTTAAAGGTAGTATAATGTAATATCGAATTTATTCGGCACAACTACAGTAAGTGTTAACTTTTACCATTTAATTCAAAATAACGAAGTAACAAGAATAGCGGGAGTTTTCGTAACAAATTGTAGAATACCCATTTATACAAATATTTCTAAATGCAGGAAGCTCTAGCTGCTGTTATTTATAAGAATATTTGAGTCATCCTGTTTTTCATATAACGGTTCTTAGTGAAACATTCTGTGACTCTGGTTTATTTTTCAGTCAATTTCATTTGTTGTGTGAATTAATATATGTTTTTAAAAATATTCAGTCAATTTTATTTGTTGTGTGAATTAATATTTATTTTCGAAAATGTGTAGTGTAAATTAATATTTTTATTTATTCTTTACTGGGATTAATTCGTAATGAGCCTAAATCTAAATTCAGTTCGGTGAGTATTTCATTCTTTGCAGGACCTTGACTTGTTAGATTTGCTATAACTTGTTGAATTTCCGGGCATCCTATGCAGGCATTACGTATAGCCAATATACTCCATTCTTTCATTACTAAATGCAAACAAATAGAAATATAGGTACTATTATAGTTTAATATATAAATAACTTACAAGGATTCCGGGCATCCATATTGGTACATTCGAAGAGGGCTGGCATTAATTGTGTGTCCAAACAATATCCCTTGTTTGTGTCATTGTTATAGAGCAAGTTAGCAATGCAGCGTACCAATAGTGTTTTCAATTCATATGATATTTCGGATTGATAATCAGGTGAAATAGTTGAAGTGGGTGCCACCTCCTCTAGTTTGTTCATAGGAGTGAAAATTGTATTTGCACTTTCTTTGCTAGCTTGTACTAAACAACGTAGAAGACTAGATACATTTAAGAACAGTGAGTGGTCTGTAGCATAAAGTTCAGAGTAATTTTCAGAGCCTGAAGCTGATGCTATACAACGTAAAAGTGCGTAGGCTTCTTGCGGTTTCATTTTATCAACCTCCTGTAATGATGCTACACGCAAAATACAGTCTGATTTGATTTTAAATTCCTTGGAAATATGTTGTAGTAAAAATGTGTGCACCAAACCATTTGGACTGTCTTGACGAAGATAGTTTATCAAGTAATCCAGGAATGTCAATCTATCATTAGTGCTCAATTGGGCATAACATTTGACTGTGTTGCGACCATCTTTCACCAAGAATTCTTCGAATATAAAATGTAGAAAATCGAATTGTAGAGAACATTTCTGTTCTAATATTGAATGCCAAACACATACCACAGCTCTTAACACAAGCGGTAATTGAACCAGAGATGTTGCAGAAGCCGACCTCATTACATTGTATACTATCATTAACATAACATCTACTTTTCTATCTAAAATCATTTGTGTATCTAGACATTGTTGCAAAATGTTGCTACCATGTTTTTGCCACACTATTGTCTGACTTTGTGGATTATTAACAATCATATTGGCCATTAATTGCCATCCTATAGTTTGTAATTGTTTAATGCTTTCAGCATTATCACTAGCCACGAACAATAAACTCTGTAAAAATGTTTGCAAATCCTCATTTGATGCAATTTGGAACTGTATTTCGGATCCACGTGCACATAAGTTTCTTAATAATCTCAAGTCTTTTAATACATCATCAGCATTTAAGGAAATGTCGTTTTGTTTTAATAGAATGCTATTGATTATTGCACCAACTTCCATTTGAGGATCGCTATTTAAAAATATAATTTACAAATTAAACAATATTTTTAATATCGAAAACAAAAACTTGCCTCATTTTCAATTATTTTTGCTTGCACTGGTGTATAAAAAAATGTAAACAAAAAAAAGATGCCAGATGGATATTGTTGTAGAATTCTCAGGAAATTTTAAATTTGTTTCATGTAAAATTATAACTGTAATTTAATAAATTAATTTATAATTTTATAAGACTTTTTTAAGTTTTAAATAAGTCAAACATTATTTAATTATAGTTATCTTTATTTAATATATTTTTTTGTTTTAATAGGTAATTTTGTTTCAACTACTAGAGAATTGCAATGTAGAAGGTAAGAGTTAATTAAGAAAATTTTTATAGAAAAGAAACATATTTTAATATTGATTTAAATAAGCAAAAACTATAAAATGAGTTCTGCATACATTTTGATTACTCAATATACACATATTTGAATTTAAATTTGTTCTTCCAATCCATATTTATTTAATAAAAAATTATCTAGGAAGTGTAAAATTTCACAAAAGTTTTTTTAATTGAAATAAAAATTAAAAAAAAAAAATAGTTTACCTATAATCGGAGGTATTGGGTTATTTATTAAAGTTACGTCTGGCAGCTTTTTATTTTTCATTTCTGTCAAAGAAAAAAATGACATCTTCAGAATCATATGGGAGTCAACAGACTAGCCGCAAACACATTGTAAATAGAAAAAAGAAGAAGACGTAAACAAACTGAAACTCGAAAAAATGACTCAAAATTATAAAATTCGTAAATTGGATAAAAAACAAAAACGCTGTGAAGCTATTATACAAAATGATTGCAAAATTAACGCCTCCAAAGAAGAACCTACGAAATACGTTGGGATTCTCAATGCCGGTTTATCAACAGGTCTCACCGAAGAACTTGTTTTGGAAACAGCGGAAAAATATGGACAAATCAAAAGATTGTTGATGTTACCAAGTAAATCATATTGCTTTTTGGAATGCGCCAATGTAAGTGATGCAGTTTCCATAGTGAATAATATGCATGGCTTAGCGCAAATTGGACAGAATCAATCGGTAGTATATTTAAGTTACTTTGTGGAATTGCCCGAGGAGGAAAATTCATCATGGCTAAAACCTTTACCAGATGGTTTAATCGTAGTTAAAGACTTTGTGACAGAGCAAGAGGAGTATGAATTGTTAAAAACTTTAGAAATTGAAAATGATTCCTCAGTTGATTCATCTTTAAAGCATCGTAGAGTAAAACATTTTGGTTACGAGTTTCTGTATGACATTAATAATGTAAATCCAGAGCAACCTTTAGAAAGGAAAATACCATCGGAATGTGATTTTCTATGGAAGAGATTGGAAAATACTTCTGAAAAGGATGGTCTTTCGTTTGAATGGCGAGAACCAGATCAGCTGACTGTAAATTCATATGAAGCAGGACAGGGAATACCACCTCATGTTGATACTCATAGTGCCTTTCTGGACCCTATTCTCTCACTTTCTCTCGAGGGGGATATTGTTATGGAATTCCGAAAAGGTTTAGAGCGCTCCTCAGTTTTGCTACCTCGTAGATCATTGTTAATAATGTCAGGAGAATCGCGTTACGATTGGACCCATGGCATAACACCGAGAGTTATGGATGTTGTCTTAACCTCAAATGGAAATCTTTCTACAAAGCGCAGAACAAAGCGCACATCACTTACATTTAGAAAACTTCGAAATGGTCCATGTTTGTGCAAATACCCAACTTTGTGTGATTCCAAATTAAATCAGAGCTGCTTAGCTACTACCGATCACATTGGCAGTGATAAAGCAGCCCTTCTAGAGGAACTTAATGTTCACACAGTATATGATACCATAGCTGAACATTTTAGTGAAACACGTCACTCCCAATGGCCACAAGTTGCAGAGTTTTTAAAAAGTTTTAATCAATCATCTGTTCTGCTTGATGTGGGTTGTGGAAATGGAAAATATCTTAATTCCAATACCCATCTATTAAATATTGGTTGCGATCGCAGTAATGGACTTCTTAAACTATGTAAATCGCTACAATATAATGTTTTTCGTTGTGATTGTCTGCATGTCCCGGTGCGTTCCAATTCCATTGACGGTTGCATAAGTATAGCTGTAATACATCATTTAGCTACCGCTGAACGGCGCTTAGATGCTATAAAAGAACTTGTTCGTATTTTAAGGCCATCCGGTAGAGGTCTAATTTATGTTTGGGCTAAAAATCAAATTGCTGACAATAAAAAATCCTCATATTTAAGACAAAACAAATCTATAAATAAAAACAAAACAACTGAAGATGAACTTAGACAGCAAACTCAAAGACAATTGGAAGAAAAAGCTAAAGAAGCACCAGTAGCACTACCAGTCCACTCAAATCGTACAACTTTTCAACAACAAGACGTTCTCGTTCCCTGGAAAGTAAAGACATCTCAAGACAAAGATGAACAAAAACGAGAAAAACCAACATTTCTCAGATACTATCATGTCTTCGAGGAAAATGAATTGGATGTATTACTGCAGGGAATTTCGGAGGTTAAGATACTAAAAAGCTATTATGATCAGGGCAATCACTGTTGTATATTTGAAAAAGTCAAAATCACCGTTGATTAAAATATACAGTAGAATTTGTTCGAATTGTTAGTTCAAAAAAAATTTTAAAAGGATTTTGTAACACATTAAATAAATAAAAATTTAAATAAAAGTAAATTTTAAAGTATTTCATAATTTGGTTGTTGTTTTATTTATTTTAGAAGGCGACACAAATATTAATAGAAGATTTAAATTTGATTTTAAAACTTATTAACTAATACAAACAAAAATGAAATATTTTAATAAAAATTTTAAAACTATATGTTTAACATTTATTGTTAATTTAATTGGACCATGAATTGACAATTCCATTTTAAAATATATACTTTTTTATTAATTTACATACACATGTATGTAAATGTGTATGAATATATCTAATATACTATAATGATAATTTCATATGTAGTTTACAAAAACTTTATTACTAAAGAATTACTAAGGAAATAAAAATTATATAATTTAATATTTTCAAATAAATGATTAGTATATATAGGATATATGTATGAAGTGTTTGCAAATTCAAATGAATTCTGAGATATGTAATTAAAACCAATAATAGTTTAAAATTTGTATGGAGCAGGTATTGTAAATATATAAAACAAAGACAAAGTTTTAACCAAGAAACTAAAAAAATATATTTCTGTAACTGGAAAAGTTTTTTTTATAGTAGGTAGAAAATATTTGATTATGTATTTGTTTAAATTTAGTTTTTGCAAAATCAAGAAATTATAATTTAAAAAATTATAAGGTTCCACTAAATATAAATTCGCTTCAAATGTCTAAATAAATTTTATGGGGGTTATTTATCTAAATTCTCTATTTTGAAATACTTGATTCCCTAATTTATATTTTACAATTCCTCTTAAGATTAAAATGTATTGATGAAAATTATTTCGACATTTATGGAGTTATGGAATAGATAGATTATGTTTGCATGTATAAGTAGATTTGGTACTTTAGGTTTCCATTGAGTGTAGAATTTTTATTTAGGTGTATAATACAAATTTTATTTAAATAAATAATATATTATCTAAAATTCTTTATTGAAACGGATTATTTAAGTATAATATTATAAATATAATTTTATTGGTTATTTTTTATATATATTTATTAAATCAGGTTTATATATACATACATATATATACAAATTATATAGGACATACACATATCAGCCAGAAATAAAAGTACTTCTTAAAGATTTATAATTCATTGCAAATTATATATCGTTTCCCTTTTTGTCAGAGTAAGTTCATTATTTTTGCTGGATATGTTTAGTAAGATAAGGAAGATTGCCAAAAAAATTTTATAATCGCTTGGAAATAATCTGCTGGATGTGAATAGAAGTCGTAGAATTCTAAAAGTTTCTTTAGATTTACTTTTTGAAATTATTTTTATACAAATTGAATAATTTTCAGAAAAAACATTTAATATATTTCTTCCAATGAAATAAAAATCTTTTATAATCGATCCTCTTTAATGTAGTTTTTTGTATACATATGCATATTGTATATATATATTTGTTTTTAAGTAAAGCTTACACCATTGTTCCTTCAAATAAGGGAGTTTGTTAAAAGGATTTATAAAATTGTATTTAGTACAATCTCTACATGAATTATGAATGTAAAACATTATTAAAAAATATAATGTCTAACCGAAAAGTTATTTAACTTTTTTGTGTTTTCATTATTTTTATTTTCTGTTAATTTTAAATTTTATATATTTATATTTCTTTAATTCCTACTTACATAAGTTTTGGTTGGTCTCTGCTTTCTTTGCTTTTAACATTAAAATATTTTATATAATTATATTCTGTTCTTTTTTATAATAATTCTTATAATTATTTCTTTTTAATATATATATTTATATAGTGTATTTTGCCTTTGTGCCATTTCCTTTAAAACTCGGTGTGATATGCTTTTTTACTTTAAGATTTTGGCCCATTTGTATTGATTTAATTAAATTTTATATATATATACAATTTGGATCAAAACATTTCAAATTAAAAAAAGTTAATCTTAAAATTTGTTTAAGAATTTGTTGAAATGTAAATGTCATTATTTAACAGAATTGACTAAATGTGGTAAAATGCGAATTCAATTTAAAATGTTTTGAAAGATACTGTATGTATGTAATAGTGCTTATGTACATTAGTTTCTCTAGTTTTAGGTTGTTAAGTTTTCCCGCAAAAATAAAAACTCTTTCAATTGGGGGAATTTCAAAAAAATATTTGAAAACAGTTTGTATTAAAAAAAAAAAAAAAAACAAATAAGAAATCGCAATCTTTATAGGGTTTTGCGATCATATTCTGTCTTCTGTGGAGATTTGCAAGAATTATATTGTTTCTTGATTTGGATAAAGTACTCTGGTTTAGTACTTAAATCGCCAAATAGCTTACATCTATTATAAACTGATTTCTCTTTGTAGTTTTTTATCATTAGAACAAGTAAAAATTTAATTTCAATTAAAAAATGTTTATTTTAAACTTTAAATATATCTCTATTATGAGATAAGAACGCCATAGCTCAAAATATTTATTTGAAATTGTAACGATAAAGATTTGAAGCTGATGCGATAGATAGGTAGCAAATGTTAGATTTATATCGACATTTTATCATATTGCAAATAGTTAAAATTACCCAAATGAAAATTTAGCAGAATAACTAAACAACAAATATTGTTTTATGACGTTCTCTGACTGAAATTAGCGACATTTACACTTACATACATACGGTTTTGCCCTAATTATCCCAACAGTTCGGCTGGACAATCCCGAACTACATATTTAACATACCACTTAAGAAACCGACTGCCCTGCTGGGACAGTCAGAAAGCTAGTCCAAAGGATTCAATGCACGACATTGCCCATTTGTTTTTTATGTGTCCACTCTTTGCGGTTAAAAGACTGATGCACAGTGAAATCTATATTTCAGGATAAGTTCGGTGCTGTTGCCGGATGACAACATGTTAAATGTATATGATACAGGATGAATATAGGTGTATACGGAACTCATCCGCCCGTTACCTCGAGTGAGTCTGTCGTATGTTGTTTTCTTATGAGTATGTGGGATAAATGAGACGTATGCAGGGTTGAATGGCGAAGGATGGACGGTATCTTATACAAGTGATACCATTGAATTTTCCTTCCATGTCCAGGTATGTTCAGAGTAAACTCTGTTCATACCAGATTTACCACAGTGTGTCCATGTGACTAAGAACAAAGTCTCTTCTTATTTGATGGATTCGTACTTCGGTCTACCGATTACGTCTCTAAGTGCTGTTGCCGACGCAACAGAGGCCATCCCATCTGCGTGTTTGTAAACGGAAATGATGTTTTTGCATCTCGGAAGTTAAGCAACGGGGCAGCAATGGTCAGAGATTAGATAGCTCAAGTACTTGGGCAAAGTGCACGTATACTGGACCGGAAATTCCATATACGTACGGTGGTGAGTCGTCACAGAAGATCACCCAGTGGTTGAAAAAGACCACAATGAAATAGCCCAATAAGGCAGGTGGTCACGTAAAGCACTCAATATTAATTTATAAGGTGATGACTGTGTCCGCTATCGCTTACAAAGGGCAAACTAATGTGACGACAGTCTTCACTCCCGTTTATAAAGAATACATTCGTGACGAAAGACGAATGGGGGCCAACTAAGTGGTTAGACGTTAGTGAAAAAATGACTGACATTTTCGGATGCATTGACTCTTTGTCGAACTGTTGGGATGTAATTTACTTTTTTTAAATTAAATCGTGTGTGTATTAAAAATTTAATTATGACTAAATTATTTTTTATGGTTGTATGTATCTGTTTAGTATACATTTATACATATAATTTTATAAAGTTTTTATTTTAAAGCTTAAAATCGATTTTCAGTTTTTTTATCTTAAAGCTTTTTTTTCTCAAATTTGAAACTTTAGTTTTTATTTAAGTTAGAGTTTCGTCCAAAAATTTGATTAACCGAAACATTTATTTAAAATTGTAGATAATAGAAATTGGAAGGAACATTTATTTGTTAGTTTTATTATTTATAATATGTTGTTACTTATAAAATTTGTCAGAAGGCTACAAAAATAATTATGTATTTAAAAATTTTAATCTATATGTTTATGTATATAATATTAAACAAGTAATTGACCATTTGTTTATTGTTCATGAACGTATTCTAACAGAAACACATATTATTTAGATTTTTAGACTATTTACAGAAATTGTAGGATTTAAATTGAAAATTTGTAAAAAATTCTAAATAACTAAAATAAAGAATATATTTATTTTAGAAATTAATAATCAGGTCTTGATTTCATTGATAATAAATAAAGTTTTTGAAATAGTCATATTTCCGAGATATAACGAATCTAGCTCTGTCTTTACAACAAGGCATTACAAATATATTTGATTTGAATAGAATATTTTGAAAATTATATTCAAAATTAGATAAATTCAATTAAATTTAATTATTAAAGTAAATATTTCAAAAACAAAGTGAGAATGTAATCTCAAAAAAAGTTTGTTTGATGTCAAATGAGTCATTCAGAAACTTGGAAAAAGGGTCATAAAAATTGTAATATTTAATTTATTAGTTTAATAAAATATATTTTATAATATAAATGTTAATCTGTTACGGATATAATACAATTAAAAAATCGTTAAAATATCAATCATTGCCCATTTTTCAATTAATATATTACTATAAAATTTCAAACCAGCTTTAATGCTGACTTTAATATTTATTTTTTTTTTAATAATTTAACTAAATAAAAAAAACACCGACTAATTACACACAAATGGACATCAAGAATTTAAAAAAAGTAAAAATTCATATAAAATGTATATAAAATTATCTTATAACTTGTTAAACCACAGATAAAATATTGAAAATCTCAACTTTTCATATGAATTGTTAAATTTTACTTAAAATTTTGAAAAATTGTTACAATTCATATCAAGAAGTTAGATAACCAAATTTTATTTCATGGCATTTCCTTCCTGTACTTTAATTCTTTTTTTCTCTTTTCAATAAGTAATTGTCAATTCGATTCCATTCCATTTCTATTTAAACATTTGCTATCTACTTGGTAGTTGTTATTGATGCAGGGATGTTTTTTCAATTTTAAATAAATGTTTCGGCTACCATTTGTTACAAGCATTCACCAGGTGGCGGTTTTTCATCGGATGGCGATGGTGATGGGCCCGACACCGAAACCATCGGTAGATTACTTAGTTTAGGTGTGATGCATTTTAATTTTAATGCTTTAGGACTACTGTGCGCAGATGATAGAACCGGCGAAGCGGTAGAAGAACGTTGGCGCACCAGGACTTTAGATGTCTTGGGCATTGAGTTGATGGCTGGAGACATTGTCGTCGCTACATCGTATGGTATTGAAACCAATTCTTCTACAGTGTCGGCAGAATCATGGGAAGCTGAGTTTAATGAAACCGTTTTGGCTGAACTCAATGTAGGATGTGGTAGTGGTGGGGGCAATGGCGGCGGTATTGGTGGCACTGGTATTGCCACGGCATTATGTTGCTCCTCCCTGATATGAGATGGAGGAGTTTCTATTGATATACTACCCACTACTTTATTGGAAGTGGTTACTGCTGCTGAATGACTTAAAACACTTGTAGCTGCCAATAGCTTTTCTACATTTGTCTTAAGAATTGCTACCGGATGATTCTCCACACTTCTTGAGCAATCATGCATTTCAATGCCATTATCATGCTGGGCATCATTGCCATTACTGTCGTCCGTATGCCATTGGCGGTTTTCAGCAAAACTTTTCTGTAAAAAAAATGCTCAGTTAAATTACTTGTAATTAAAATTATATTGATAGTGACATTATATATATGCATCGCTGTTTATACCTTTCTGCCATTGTCCGTTATATTCTCGGCACTCTTTGCTTTACGACACAAAACACTTTGTGATCCATGCCGTCGCAAAAATTCGATGGAATCAAATCCTCGTCCTTCCGATGACACAAAAATGGCTGAATTAATGCGACTACGGGTTATACGTTCCGATATCGATGTCGAGTGTTCCTCTTGAAAGACGTGGAAGTGCTGAAATTTTCAAATCAAATCATCATATTATTTTCTATTATACGATTTCCAAATCCATTTCCCCTTCCAAAACGAAATAAAGAAAAAAACAAATCCCCCATGACGACATTCAATAAAATCAACAAAACACTCAACTTAAAAACAATGAATGAACGGAATGAATGACAAACATTGAATTACAATTATAACGGTAACTGTTGTAACACAAACAAACACAATTACAAAAAAACCATAAAAGAAAACGAAACGGAAATCGAATAAAATAAAATAATAGAAATGTAAAATGTACGAATGTAATTGAAAACAATGCTGCTTACACGACTACAATGTAACGGCTGATAGGCGAGTGCTCCGCATTCGCTGCTATCAAACTGTAAGAGAAAAAAGAAAAAAAAAAGAAGAGAACAATGGAAGGACAAAAATAGAGACAACATTTTAATGAATCTATGGACATACACAAAGACACATTACGGAACAAATTAGTAAATTGTATGTATTTTTGATTTTGATTTTTCTTAAAAATAATTCAGTTTTAAGTTTATATTTTTTTGAACATTTATTTTGGTGTAATGATTTTTTTAAATTAAGCGTAACATAAATTAATAAAAGCCTAAAAGTGATAATTTTCACAGAAGCAAATGTGTAAATTGTTTATAAGAGAATTAATTAAAATTAAAGTATTGTTTTTGCACTAACACTAACAAAAGAAGTTTAAAAGGCTCAATAATATTCATAATGATTTAAATGGGTATTTAAAAAATTCGCTCATTTCTTAAATAACAACAAACACCTGTGATGGCTCCATTATTAGCTAACTAGTTAATAAGCCCGAATAATCACTACAGTGTCTCAAACCCACCGATTAAACTGGGAAAATATAATAAAACCTAGTGCCTAGTTGAAGACCGACTTTGGAAAGATCGGATAAATTTTCCTTAAATATTGGAGTTTTTTTCTTAATTAATTTTGTGGAATTTTTTCCTAATTTTGCAATAATTTTTTATCCTAATAGAACTTTTGCAATTTCCATTAATATCAAACGGGATTACTTTTTGACATTTATGTCAAATCATTTGGAATAGAGCTACAAAATTATACAAATTTTTTTTTTTTTTTGAAAATCAGTCATTGTTAATAAACAAAATTGGCTCATTTAGAGTGGGATTAAGGGAGATCATTTTCTATTTGGTGATATGAATGACATTGATTCGGACAAGATCAATGTCGTTTTAACAAGATAACACTATGTGCTGGGATGCAATTATCATTTTATTGAAATCAAAATTAGGCCATAATTTGATTTCGAGATTATTTTACAATTTCAACTTAATAGCTTTAAAAACATAAAGCATATAATATATTTTCCTTCATTATCTCAAAATCTGACAACGTATGAGTAATATTAATTATAACTTTATAATACGTAAAGTTAAATAGCAATAAATGTACAGAAAATAAACCAACTTTTAATTATATAATTATTAACACTGCTATAATGTATACTATGAAGTTGGTTGGATTACATATCGGATGACCCTTTGGTTACATTAGTGAATTACAGACGTACTACATATGTACATATGTATTTCACTAGCTCATACTAATTAGTCCTAATAAAACTTTCTAAAGTAGATGTAAAAAGGTGAATAGGAACTTGGTTAAATGATAATTTGGTGTTGAAATATAAAGGAATTTAAGAGAAGAAGAAAAAGAATTAGTATTAGAAAAAAGACAAAGAGTTTAGAATGGTGCAAGATTAGTGCAAAGCATTAGTAGTATTTATTTTTTCAGTTTTATTTTTGTTTAAAAATTCAAAGAAGCTATAAAATTAGTTTAATTGGCATTAACTTTTTATTAGAGATAAAATAAAAATGGAAAATTACGGCAATCAAATCGAAAAGAATAAAAAAGATAGAGGAAATAAAAAAAACATTCTGCTCATTGTTCATTTACAAAAGACAAATCACAATTTGTTTGTGTAGGTAAAGGTGGTGGCATCAACTGGGTGGCTCTGTGTCGGTGGATTTAAAGCAAGTGTGGGTGTGTGTGCGTGTTGGTTGTTTGAGTTTGTGTTCTAAATTAGAGTGTGTGTGTGGGTGCATGAATAAACCAAACAAGCAAAATTTTATACGCAATGGAAGAATACAAGAACAAGTGTTTTATGCAAGTATTTATGTATATTTGCACGAGTTAAAAAAAAAACATTTGAATTGATAAATGTTTGATTAAATGCTGAAATTTAAGTAAATATTTGTTAAATTGTTCTATTTTGAACTTTGGCTCTATTTGTTTCGGGTGATAAAAAAAAAAAAACAAACAAAAAACTACACAAGGAGACAAACACAAAAACGATAACGAATATTTTCAATATAAACATGGGTGAACGAACGATCGATCGAAGGAACGAGCGAACGAACGAACGCCTTTTTACAATTTTAAATTCTTTTCAATTTTCAGTGCTTATAAACAGGTGACAAGTGCTGTTTGTCTAAACGACAAATGAATTGTGCTAATAATCCACACATTTTAAAAATGCATTGATTTTGGGGGACCAAACAACACACAATTGACCAAACGTTATGAACTGATTTTTATTTGACTTTGCGTGATTTACATAGAGAGAAAGTACTTAAATAGTATGCTGCTAAGGCGACTTACACTGTGACGTTCGGTCGTGGGATTCGTATGATTTAATGTAGTAGAATCAGTGCGTATCGTATCACTGGCAGCCATGCTATGACATTTGGGTAAATGTGAAGAGTCACGACTATCACGTGAATCTTCGCGCGAACGTTCAGCACATGAAAACTGTCGTCGGTACTGGCGGCGACGACGGAATGCATTCGGATTGGTTGTATGCATGGAATATTCACCAATGCCGCCAGTAATGGGACCACTAATGCCACCACCTATACCACCGCAAATGGAAGGTGCTATTGGCGGTGGTATGGCACGATAGTAGCAGGGATCATAACTAAATTGTCTACGTCTCCACTCTTGGTATTGGCGATAGTGACTGAATAGTCTACGTCTGCGTAAAATTATTTGTTTTTTGGCCTCTAACAGTTCTTGATCTTCGTTTGTTGTGGTTGTATTGTCTTGGGAATTTTTCAGTATACTGCGTTGTGTGGCATATTTATTTTGGCGCATTCTGTGTTCACTCTTGACTTTGCCCGCCGGCTGTCGTCTATAATCGGGCTGTATTAGATCCTTTTGTTCTCCATCTTCATCTTCCCTTAGTATCTCGTCCGTTTCTCTGTCGCTTAGGACGAATGCTTCCTCTCGGTTAGTATTTATACTCATGTTGCTGGCATGTTCATGATGAGGTGTGTTCAGAGCCGAACTATTGGCCATTGCTTGGCTATCGATACTCTCAACACGCCGATATCCTTCCGATGGTGAGACTTCTTCACCATCGGCAATTGCTGGTTGCTAGCTTTCTACGTCGGCCTTGTGTAAAAGTGCAAATTGACATCCACAATCACGTTCCAACTCACGTCTCGGATATTGAAAACAGCGATCGAATATACCACAACCTTCACAGCGTGGTATACACTAATAATTTTGTTATTTTCATCAAGTAGTAATAGTTGAGCAAAAACAAGTGTAGAGGTAATAACATCCACAGAAAGAAAGAGAAACATTCGAGTAAAATAGAAGAATTTTTTTGTAATTGTTGTAATATCAACTCATGAAGGAAATTTTTACATTAAAATACAGTAGTATAATAAAGAAAGTTTATTAAAAATTCAAAAAGTATTTGGGACATTAACACAAAAAAAAAACAAGCTTCTAAATGCACTACAAAAAATCAATCCCACGTATGTTTGGTTGTTTCATTTTAATTTTAATTTATACATAATTCTATTTTGTCATATGTATATCCTCCACCAACTCGATTGCAGAAATTAAGAGTAAAATTTAAACTCTTTATAAATATTTATTTTCAAAATGTATCTTTCTTAACGAAACAAAAAGAAAAATTTAAAAATAACACTTTTAGTGGAGGTTACACAAAATTTGATCAAGAGAAATGGAAGTATTTCATTGGATAGTGGATTTCTATTTAATAAAATAAAAACAAATGATAATTTTAAATCAATTCTAAACTGATATTAAGTATTTCATTCAATTGGAAACTATGTTCAAAATAAGCTAAACTATATTAAAAGCTTTAAGTGGATTTATTTTAATTTATAAAAAAAAAATTTTAAAAAATACGAAAAAAAAATTTTAAAAAATAGTTGTTGTTTTTTAAGCAGTTAAATTAGCAAATTTAAAATATTAAAGAAAGTAATATGTCCAGTAACACTTGGGTGGTACGAAACTACAAAGTATCTTTTTTCAAAATTGGTAAATTATAACGAAATTAATCAAAGAACACTTTTTGAAATAATGCTATACACGGCTTAAGTACATACAACGAAAAATAAAAGATATACATTTGCGAGCAGAAAAAATCAAATCTGGGTCTGAATTTTAGCGCAAAAAGTAGACCTAAGACTTGACTAGATTATAGATAAGACTAGATTAGAGATAAGATTATATAGTATACTAGACTATAAACTAGACTATAGACTAGACTATATACTAGACTATATAATATACTATAAACTAGACTATAGACTAGACTATAGACTAGACTATAGACTAGACTATAGACTAGACTATAGACTAGACTATAGACTAGACTGTAGACTAGACTATAGACTAGACTAGACTATAGACTAGACTAGACTAGACTAGACTAGACTATAGACTAGACTATAGACTAGACTATAGACTAGACTATAGACTAGACTATAGACTAGGCTATAGACTAGACTATAGACTAGACTATAGACTAGACTATAGACTAGACTATAGACTAGACTATAGACTAGACTATAGACTAGACTATAGACTAGACTAGACTATAGACTAGACTATAGACTAGACTATAGACTAGACTATAGACTAGACTATAGACTAGACTATAGACTAGACTATAGACTAGACTATAGACTAGACTATAGACTAGACTATAGACTAGACTATAGACTAGACTAGACTATAGACTAGACTATAGACTATAGACTAGACTATAGACTAGACTATAGACTAGACTATAGACTAGACTATAGACTAGACTATAGACTAGACTATAGACTAGACTATAGACTAGACTATAGACTAGACTATATAGACTATAGACTAGACTATAAACTAGATTATAGACTATAGACTAGACTATAAACTAGACTATAGACTAGACTATGAACTAGATTGCGTATATAAAACCACCGTGTCGCATCATTCACTTGAGCATTCACGCTAAGTCTATCAATTTAGTTAGTCAAAATTTACTAACGAAAACGTTAAGATGTGTTGATACGTTTGTATCTATATGAGTTTATCTGCATGCAATAGATAAAAAATCAAATCAAATACGCCTCTAATGCGACCCACAAAAAACGCATTGGTCAAAGAAGCAGTATGGTTTTATAAATCAACTTTTTGTATTTTTTATTTTTAAACCTTTTATAAGATATAAAAATACCTAAAAATTTCACATATTTTAATTTGATGCCAAAAACAACTGAGATCTCGTGTCATACAAATTTTCCGATAGTTGAGAATCAAAATAGGAAGGCTGATTTCTAATAGTAAATATATACATACAATTAAAGTATTTTTGGAATACCGAAATCATAAATTTTTAACTTAAATTTAAGCAAGAAACTATTTTAAACAAAGTTAACTCAGTGCTCCATGGTAAATATTTGGGAAAATAAAAACTAAATGCGGTTATTTTACTCTACATACTCTACTCTTGTAACTGTAACTGGATAGTACAATAGCAGTAGTAGTAAAATGTATATTAAATTATATATGCAAATTAAAAAAAAAAAAGAAGAGAGCAGTGCAAAACCATTAAGTAAAATTCTTTAACAAAAACCACAGTCCAAGCATAAAAATAAATTAATCATGATCTGAAACTATTTTAGTGGCTGTAGAAATTATCTTGTACTTTAATATTTTTGTTCATTCACCCTTAACGAATGTTATGAAGAGTTTTCTGAATTTTTCACATTTATAATTGACAGAAACTACCTTTACAACCAGAAACACCAGATATGCTTATTGTAGCGTGTAGCATTGGTATTCGTAAAAAAACAGTTTGAGCCGTTTTTGTCTGTAAAGTTTTATTTTCACATTTAAGGCATAGTTTTCTTTCGGCATTCATGAATTTCCATTTCAAAATGGAAAACGGCTTATTTTATATTTAAGGGGCATAAACATTTAGAACAAAAGAAAAACTGTGCTGTTTCATCCTAAAAGAAAATTTTCTGCTGAATGAAATCTTTGTTGTATTAAGTGTGGTACCCTAAATGTGTTAGTAGGCCGGGTAGTTTTATAAATTAAATTATAATATTATGAACATACTTATGTACATAGGTATGACCTTTAGAAAGAATAAAGAGGTCACAACTATTAAAGTTCACAAAAATAATTTTTCAAAAGAAATTTATTAAAAAACCATTTCCTTTTAGCCGAATTTTATCATGTTATAAAAATGTATTCATTAATATTAAATTATTTAAAATATTAATTTAATAACATTTTGGTCAATTCTAGTTTACAACTAACACAAGAAAATATTACTATTCTTAAAAAGTTCTCAAACTTAATAAAATAAATATGAATTAAGAAAACTTTAAACTTTGCAAAAAGCAAATTGCAATTTTATTTGAACGTTAGTTTAAATAAAATATGAATTTTCCTAACAAAAAATGCTTATATGAGGAAAATATTTAGAAATGTGTTGCACCATTTGAGTGCTTTACTTTTCATTATAGCAGGGACGTGAAAATGACTGTTTTTTATGGTTAAACTAAATAAAAACTATAATAAGATAACTGTAAGAAGTTTACTTGCTAAAGATATGAAATCAATATTATTTTAACATTTTGTGATTTTTTTGCTTTGCTTGACTTTTACTTAATGGCCTTTAAAGTAGACAATTTGCACACGGATAAAGAGTATTTTGCTGACTTATAGAATTGCAAATTTTTAAAACGCTAAAAAAAATGAATGATTCTTTGGGGCTACATACTTTCATGCAAAATAAGATAAATACTATATAAAAAAATTACTACAAAAATTTGTTCAGATTTTACAATAAGATGGAACAATTTTTGCCAAAGAAAAACTTATTTTGTTCAACATAAATTTGTTTCAAGAGACTAGTAAAAATGAACACTACTAACAAGGAGAGATAAAAAAGAATTAAGTGGTAGAAAAGTATCTTTTTTTGATATAAAACAAGATGTATTATTTTTGTTTTTGTACCTTAACGAACAAATCGTGATGTAAATTCTAGAAGTAAAAAAAGAAGAGCAGGGAAAAGAAGGGGAGAAAAAGAAAACAAGAGAAGAGGTATTTGTTTTGCTTTAGTTGTCTGTTCAATACTTAATTCTAGTATTTTATAATAAATTTTCTTATAAATAGGTAAGCAGTAGCAGTATTAGTAAATATATAGCAAAAATCTTTTTATACTTGAATATCACTTTACATATCGTTTGTTATCATAAAATGCTAAGAACCCTAAGCAATATTTCGAATAAATTACAGGACAAGCAAAAATATAAAAATATTTAAAAAACTATAACCCCATGATAGGTAATAACATTTTCAAAACTACTTGACCTTTGGTTTCCAATAGGTTAGTAGTTAGTGATTGAGTCTAGTAGACTAAGTTCGTGAATTCCATTTCCCACTGGTATCAGGTCCGATAGAGACCTGTGGGTGTATTTCTTCGGATTTGATAAATGTATTTAAATATATTCATCGTCCTTTCAAACAAACTAACTTGACCTTTTGAAAAAAAAAATTGGTAGGGCGATCATCAATAATTTGCTGAAGACATTTTTTAACCATAAAAGTAATAATTTCTTTGCGATCCTAGAGTTTATAAGTGAATTATGGAAGGTATTGCCATTTCCAGAAGGGGACCTTGTATGCGGAATAGGATCAAGAGGATCATCAGTAGAATTGTTTAGGCTTACATAAAACTTTGTTGTTTCGGTTTTTGTAGAGATACTATGATGGTTCGGTTGCATGAGGTTAAGTGAAATAATGGACGGATTCCAATTATTTCGTAGCTTGATAGCAAGGTTTTTTTTAAAGGCTAGCGATGTCCGCCTTAACTGCGAAAGTAATTCTCTGACGATTGGTTTACTCTAAAGTGGAAGTAGGACCAATATTTCTATACGTTACAAATATCATCACGATCGCCTAATACCCTCCCCACTATAGTGGTGTAGGTTATAAAAAGAAAAGCTGCACTCACTTATCACCAATGCTGTTAAACTATACAATCCGTTCAACAGGCTACCTAAATTCGTTTTGTTTTTAATACACTTTTCGCTTGTCCTTAAATTGTTCAAATATTAGTTAAGGATTTTAGCATTTTAAGTGACAAGATGTTTATAGTTGAGTTAGCAAAAGGCAAAGTAAAAATAATTATGACTTCAAGTTATGATTGAGAGCAAAAGAGCTAAGAATTAAGTAGAAGGGAAAGACAATGTAAAAGTTTTCCCGTAGCAATGAAATAGACAGAAAATCAAGCACCAAATTTTTTTTAAGAATTTGAACGGCGAATCGAAAATATTTTAATGTTTAAATTAAATTCTGTTGTTATTCTTTGGTTAAAAGAGATTTTGTTTGTTTATTGCTGGTTTAGCAAATTAAATATTGAAATTGAAAGTGAATGTAAACCGAAGGAAAACTTTGTGATTGAATGATGTGATAAAAATTATTATAAGGACTTGAATAAAAAACAAACAACAAAAACCAAAATACTAACTGAATTAAGTAACCGTATTAATTCGCCTTTTGCATTTTGTTTTATTTGTTGTTGTTTCTCTTCAAGAGTATCTAAAGAAAACTCGAGTTTATTTGTTGTAACATGGCTTAAAAGAAAAACCAAAAAATGAAACTCTAAGGAAATGCTTTTTTTGTATGCATGTGTATTTGTGTATTTTTGTCAAATCCCCCTAGACATTTCAATTATTTTTGCTGATTGCTCAATGTTTCCGAATGAGTTCACAAAAGGTTAAAAGTATATGTATGAGTGAGTGTTTGAGTAGATGTTTTCTACATGGTTATGTATGTGTGAATGTAAAAACGTATGCATTGATGTGTAGATGTAGTTGTTTAGTTTTGAAATGTGTTTGGAATATTATTTAGTTTGTTTTATAATTTTTTTACTTCGTTCATACCTGATGAGAATGTTGGCCATTACAGACACCTCCACTGCACACACCCGTACCGGGTACTTTCAACTGTTCATGCTTGTAGTCTGGTTGATAAGGCAACAGCATGCGTATTTTGCCCCAACGATTGAAAAATAGAGCTATCGCTCCAGCCCAAACCATTAAAACTATCAGTACGATACCAATTTCGACACCACGTATCTGGAAAAACAAAATATATGGGGAAAAGCAAACAGTGAAGAAAATATTATTAAAATGTCACATACATAAACACATATGAATGTGTGTACATTAGGTTGGTCCCCAAAATAAAATTTGCGGATGTTTATAACTAAAAAAGTTCTTTTTTGAAGTTTTACTGATATTATTATATGTATTTGTCGCTAAGTAAATATATCATGTATTGGTATAATGTCAAAGGTCATTTAATATTTGGAACCACCCTAATGTATATTCATTCATGTGTGTAAATATTGTTTGTAACACAATTAGTACATACAAACATACTAAAAAATACAAAATAAAAACGACACGCACTCTAAATAACACCACAGTCATAAATAAATAAACAAATAAACAAAATAAAACAAATAAATAAATAGAATTGTAACCTTTACATATACATACCGTTGGTAATTCCCTGTGTGTGCCATGTGACAATGAATTTGTCGCGGTAGAGGTGACACCATCCTCACTGCCATTCGCACTCGAGCGACCACTAAAATTTGTTGCTGATCCTAAGCTCATGCCACCATTAGAGCCAGACCCAGCATTTGTTAAATCCTGTGTAAATGCTTTTGGCAAATCTAGCCATATGTTTAGTATTAGTTAAAAATTCAAATAAAACTTACAGTATTAACAATTAATTAAGGCAATACTATTCGAACGTCATAAAAAATGGAGTGTTTTATCAGCTGTTACGTTGTTTTGTTTGCCGTTTTTCTTTACACGTTCGACTAATTTTGCCTTTAGCAGTTAGAGACATGCATAAATGTGTATTAATTTGCAGATTTTATTTACCTAATGTTCTGAATATAACTTGACGACTGCGATATTTTTTACCCAGCCATACTGCAGTGACACCGATTGAATATTGTGTTCCCGGCGTTAAGCGATCCAATATAATTGCTTCACTATTCCCGGCAACATTCTGTACAACCCTGTAACTTAAATTAATTCAATTACCACTCAATGCTTTCAACTACAAATAATAATTTAATTTAATGGTGTTGTCTAATTGTTATATGCATGGATGAACCAGTTATATTTCACCGTCTCTCTATCTACTGCTAAAAATGTCGTTTACATTAACAAATTAAAAGTAAATAAGGTTTTATAATTTGCATAATTTTCTGGGTGTTAAATTAAAATAAACTAAAATAATTAGGTGCAATATTTTATTCTGATTTGGAATTGAAAATTTTTCATTTACAAAATTAAAACTTTTTGAAAATTCCCCAGTAAACATTTTAATTTTTCGATTTCCCAACATTGAAAAATGTATCTAACAATAAATTATCTGAAATCTAAATTTTTGAGTTGTTACGGTTTTTGTATTAGATGGACGTACATATGCATGTGTTGTATTAATAACATAATGTCTGATGTCAGAGCTAATTAGTTAACATAATTTATATTTATTTATAAATACAAAAAATAAATATATAATTTAAATAATAACGCCAAGTAATAATGACTATAAATACCTAACTATGGATATTAAAACGGCTCACAAAAATGAGGATATTTCAAAAAAAGTTCATTTACATTATATTATAAAAGACCCGATTCCATTACTTTAGAATTTTTAATAAAAATTACGCGTATTTGAAAACAAAATTGAGAATTTAATTCGGGATTATAAAATAAAAAAACCTGCTCACTAAAATATAATAAAACATTTTAATTTTTGAGCCAGGGTTCGGATCTGTTCGAACTAATTTTGTACCAAACGATTGCATTAAACCTAGATGGGCCTTCGTTAAGTTATCATTACATCTAAAAAAACCTTTTAAGCTTTACTATCGTTACCGATAAAGTGCCGTTATCGTTTCTAACCGGTTGCCAACATTGCCTTATACTTTATGAAAGTCGAGCTGGTCTAATTAACTAAACACCTAACAAGACTAAAACCATCATGGCGTATGAAATATATAGAATTAATTATAAAAATAATAATCATACGTCACATACATCAAATTTTCTCCCGAAAAGCAATAAATTGAATGCCTACTCGTACATACATATAAACTATATACAATGTATGTACGTTTATTCACTTCACTTGTTTGTTTATTTAATAGATTATTGTTTTCTTTAGATAATTCTCATGTTTTGTTGTATATACATGTATTTGTCATAATATCAATAGAACATAATACTAAAGTTTTAGTTTAACAACAACTTTTTTTCAATGGAAACTTGTAAAAATGTTTACAAGTTTCTTATTTCAAACGTATCACTCTCAAATGACGGTTATCATTTGCAGGCATACTTATGGAAGTTCATAAATCCAGGCATGGTAAGCTGATGCTTTAAAGTCAGTTTTTTAATGTTATTACTTTATCTGATTCTTTACAAATATCACTATAAAACGTTAAAAGAACTAAGTACTGGAAGTAGGGAAAGTGTATCTATTGTAGTTTAAATTAAACATTATATTTTATGTATTTTAAATTTCCATTCCTGTTCATAGTGTTTTGATGTCTGGCATTGCCAGCCTCTTGAAACCAATACAACCATAAGTACTTATGTATGTATTTTTTGCTCTCAAGTTATTTGTCGTTTACTCTTATAATGAGGTTAACTTGTCACAATAATGTCAACTCTTATGACATCGTATCAGGTATCTTTATCTTGAATATACTCAACTGATATTGTTTTGTATAGACTTGGTAAAGCAATTAAATTCTTAAAATACATTTAATTTAATTTTAAATTTTAATTAAAAACAAACATTCGAATAAAAGCCCACATTTGAATATTAAAACAATGGATGATTTTCTTGTCTTTTTCTAGGCATTCTACACTTTTAATTATTTTTCTTTTTATTTTGTCTATTTGTATATTATCTATGTATGTATGTATTTTTATGCATATAAAATTTTAATTGTTTTTATGTTTTGTTTACAGTAATATTTCGAACAGATTATTTTTGTAAAAATTAATTTAAACATGACTAACTAAATTAATGTGTTGTACGTATGTATTTGAGATATAATTTAATCTATTTTTTCAGATTTAAATTTATTTTGTTGATTTGTTTTTTATATATTTTTGTTTTACATGGCTAGTAAATATGTGTATAACAAAATTAAATGTTTACCTGAATGAATTCAATTCGATATTTCATTAAATTTATATTTATGAAAACTTTTTTACATTTTATTGTGAATTCAAGTTCTATTATTCTGTTGTATCTCAAAAAAAAAAAAAAAATACAGTTTCAAATGAAATTTCTATGAATATTATTATCAAGTCTCATGTGTTAGAATAAAAACTCTTTAATTGAAAAACAAATATCGACTTTGATTAAAAATATTTTTTTTTTATTAAACAATACTAATTAATTTATTTGTTTTCATTACAGTGAAAACATTCAATTAAGCAAATTATTTTCAATTAATTTTATTTCTCATATGTCAAATATAATCATTGATGATATTCATAAGAAACACAATTGTTAATTAATTAGTCTAGATAGTGCATAGTAACCACCTACCAACTAGGGAGTGCATATTTCTGATTCAGATTAGAATGTTATTTTGATCAATAAATATGCGACAAAAATAAATACCTGGGAAGTAATGCTATTTTTCTGAAAGGTGGATCCGAGTAGAACAAGAATATGTTTTTGAAATTTGCCAAACACCTCCAAAATCTTGAGTTACGGGTAAAAATCCGATTTTTCGTACCTTTGGGCACTTATAAGTCAGTACCGATTTTAATTTTCTCCACGGATTTAGCAGAAGCTGAGGCCTTTATAACGACATATATAACTATTAAGATATGTGTGAATTTCATCAGCAAACATATTTTTTATTTAACTTTTGCACCGTTGTACAAGTTTGGATATGTTTTTTGAAAGTATTTTATATAGGAACCGTACTATTTATTAATTGGTTAGAAACCCATGTCTACTCATGACAAAAACGCAACTTTGTTTTTGTTTTTTCCAAAACTGATTTCCCAAAAAATGCTTCATATGGGGGATAGGGCTAAATAAGTAACCTGGAGAGATTAATTTTATAAAACTTAATTTTTCCCTACACTGACACACATTCAAATATACGTTTTCTTCCAATACAATGTTGTTTTTGGTTTTTTTTCAAAGCATGTACTAACATTTATTTTCTTTTTTTGATAAAATTTTCAAAGATTGTCTTGAATTTTTGCTCATATCTGCGTTATGTATGGACGAATTTTGCTGATTTTAAATACGAAACTTTTCGAAAGCATTTCTGTCAGAATTATTGAAGATTTGGATCCCGAACATATCTGGGATCTTCAGGAAATTGATTTCAAAACACACATAGACGAACAGACGAACTGACAGAAGGACATGGCTTAATCTACTCCGCTATCTATAAGGATCCAGAATATACATATATACTACATAGGGTCGGAAAATTATATTGTAGAAACGGAATGACAAACTTATATATTCTGCATAAATAACTTTTATATAGACATAAATCTCTCATCCTAATTTTATGATTACCAGCCCATATTTGGCCCTAGCCCCCATATAAAGCCACTTTTAGAAAAGCAGTTTTTCATCAATAAATTGCTAAATATGTCGCGATTGAAGTAAAATTCAATATAAATATTTAACTAAAAAATAAAATATCATACTGCCGTCCCAGTCCGACTATACTTTCCTATTTGTTAGATAATTTTGTGTTTTACATAGATTATTCGATCACGTATGTATGTGGTAATTCGGCCCCAGGTCTACATATAGAAAAATTTAATATGATCATCACGATTCCGAAAATATCATATGTATATAATTGTTACAATATCTTAGATTTAATCGGGTTAAAGCCGATCCTATAAATCTCATTATTTTTCAATAAATTCCAATCTTGGATGTGTTTTTATTGTCAATTTATGCCACTAAATAGCAATCATTTAGTTCAGGATTAGTCCATAATAAAACGTAGAATCCGAAATTTAACGTTGTACAAAATTCAATGAACTAGGTTACGGTTAGATTACGTGGGTTGCTCGCTAGTAAGCGAGTTCACTCGGAGGCCTTGTAGCTTATTGTGATACCCTTAGAATTACCATCGTCTTATGATGAGAGAATGGTTTCCCTCTCTAATAAAACCGATCATGTTTACTAGTGACATATCTCTGAGACAGTTCAGATCATGGAAAAGAGCTCTACCTAGATATAGTAGTCTGTGCTCTTGTGAGGCTGGGCTGTCAAATTCAATGAACTAAGAGCAAGGACTTCATGTCCTCTACGAAAAATGTGTAGTTTTGAACATTAACTGCCAATTTTAGTTGTCCCAAAATTATACTTTCCAGTGCCCCTCTAATGCAAGGAAAGGACTTGAAGAAATTTTTGAAAATAATATATTTATGTGTACTTTTGAGCTAACAACAACAAAAAATGTCTCTCTACAATCTACATATTAAATTAATGACGTGACGTAAAAATTTGTTTTATTACGTCGCACATGTTAAGTTACTTGAAATTATCAATACTCAGTCAGTGTCAACGACAATAACAACAACAAAAACAAGAACAAAAAAACTAAGAAAAACAAGACAATCAAAAAACATAAGAAAAAAGAAAATTGTAATAACTTATAATTCAAAGTTATAACTTTAACAGGACACATTTATGTTTAACAATATTATTGGTCAATTAATTTTAAATAAAATTATTATACACGGACATACTTACTCACTCACACGCATGCAATATATTTGTATGTATGCTTGTATGTATGTAAGTTAATAAGAAACCTAAATTAAAGATAGGAAACCCCTTATAAAATATTTATAATAAACTAAATGACAGGTAGACCAACGTACAGACAGAGTGACTCACTGGCCAACTAACTAGCCACAGAAGTCGTGGAAACAAAGGAAAAAATAATGAAAGAAAACAAAAACGAGGAAAGCATTTAAATATCTAATCAATAAAATAAAC